AGTCATTCGTAGTAAACTTACAAATTATGGGAATTAAAAAAGAAACGTAAATAGTATCAAAAACTAATTGAAAAATAAAGTTTTCGTTATTCTCTTCACAAAATAGCAATCCTAATGATATTTGTTCGCTTACTTTTGTTGCTTACTTTGCCGTCGTGGTAAAACGAAGTATTACGACGGATATTGAAAATTTACAAAATTAAAGCTTTCTATAAGACAACTATCATCTTAAGAAACGCTTTAATTTGAACAAAATACACGATCCCGTTCACTTCCACACAAAAATATGTCTGAGGATTAGGTCGTGTCGGTTGTGATGGAGAATTCCTGTGAGATTTCAACTCGTGCCAAGTAACACTTGAGTTACACAAAAAGTCCTAATAATCCCATAGAATTGGAAAATTTACTGAATAAATCACTCACACCAAAACACGCAATTTTCAGTATTCACCAAATTGATATTTAAAATATCAAAGTAATTTCAATAGTTGAAATAATTCAAAAAGGCCTTTCTAACTGTAAACGGGGGCGGGTAGCCGAAGCGTCCCACATAATGCTAAATCCCTCTGCCTCTAATGAGACGGAGGGTCTGAATATTAATTAAACCTGGTCTGTTTTTCCAGACAACCACATTTGACGTTACTTTTTATCGTTTTTACGCACACACACACACGGACACATAATCTCAACCCACTACTTCATATCACAAATGCGCACATTTTTCACGCCTACAATCTGACACACAAATTAATGCAGTAACAGGCCACACAAATTCACTTTGACCGAAATTACTCGACATTGTTTCCGCTGAACTATTTGATCTTGTGTCAACCTAATTTCAGTTACCTCTTAAGTCTGAAGAAGTGGCTCAGATTAAGTCACGAAACATCAGAAATACAATTTTTCTACTTATTCGGATACAACAAAAATACATTTATCATTAACTCACTACCCAATGCCCAATCTACTGGAAACTATCAAGTTTTGTGCTGTCTTTGTTCTCAAAATATATTTTGACCTAAATAGGATCAGAGACATTCATTCTGTCTCCAACTTTTGTCCTTTGTCTCCTTCTCGTAATTGCGTTTTTTATCCCCTGATGTGATCCTGTTTTATTCTATCGCTGGATTACATAGACTGTATTACTGAGTGACCGTGGTTCATAATAACTAATGTTTAACAGGTTGATTCGAATAGTCCTAAGGGTTGCAAGTCTCCTTTTTGTGCTGACAGAGATGTGAATTGCAGTTAAAAATATCGATTACCTATTTTCTGAGTCAGTTGACTGAAATATCTACTATGAAGTACTCCTGGTTAACAGGGCCATTACTTGCTCTCTAACAAGCAAATATTTCTTGGTCATTTGAAAATTTATTTACTTGACGTACTTTATATTTTACCACTAAACCTTCTTTGAATTGCTTTTTGTTTAATTTGTTTAAATATTTCCCGCAATTTGCAGTCGTGATTAATATGATTAGAACCGTGCCCAACGCAAAACTAGTGTCTTAAATTAATTTGCTGGTAAAAGCTTGTATTCGACGTCTCACTGGTGGTTATACTAGTCTAAGGGCTTTTAAACCAAGTACAGTCGGGTCGTATTCACTTGCAGGAAAAGGGACAAATATATACGTTTCTTTTATTAGTTTGTAGTGGCATTAGACCATAACCACACAATCCTCAAAGCTGAACACGAGACAACTCGGAAAATAGATATTCACTATTTAACGCGGAGAAATACCTAACGACGGAGAAGGCAGGAACAAGGAGTCGAATTAATTGAAGTTGATCGAATGGCATTGCTCGGCCTTGCGGGCGTGGTCCTTGTTGAATTTTATCTTATATCTTTCATTCATATCAAATATATTGTTTTATCTCTAGCTTAAGCTTGTTCTACATCACGTAGTGGTGATTGTTACGATAAGATGAGTTGGTGAAGACGATGGTATGACTTACACGTAAGATCTTATAGATTAGGCAGTTATATCATGACAAGTCTACAATTTTAGGACTAGGTCTATTATCAGTGCAGTACTAATATTGTAGTAGACCATAATTTTGCAAGTTACGTCTCAAAGGTGCAATAATCGGGGGCTTATAAGCAATGACTTCCTGGTTTGCTCCGCTCTATCTTGGTGACCAGACTGACTTGACTCCCCATTACTCCTAGAGAGCCGATAAATTTTGAAAAATCTATTCGAGATGACACTCTACAGAGAAGTCATTTGCAAGGGGCAAGTGGTCTGCCATATGTACCGCAAGTATTTCTCTTGGTGGTCACTTCAAACTGACCAGCCCCGACTTCTAACTTTAATTAACTACTGAGCATTATGCATTCAGTGTTTTAAGTTTGGATAACACTTGATTAGACGGATAATCTGGTCAGGGCTTATAATCATTTAACTGACGCTGCAGCTTTTTCCACTCAGTGTTGCAGGTCAGGTTTTCGAATCCTTTTGATCTGAGCAGTGTTAAATCTAATCTATCTTTAGCCTGGGTAACAAGAATAAAATTTGACGGGACTAAAGCCCAAAATAAAGCAAAAATCGAGAGAATTTCTAGTGCATTCGTGAGCCCCGTATCCCTTTTATTCAATAGCCGAGAGGTTGATTTCATTACAAATCTTCAAGATCACTATCGGAACCTAAAACAAATCCTCAAACTCAAAAGCACGAATGGAGCCAGGGATAGTAGTTGCGCATGTCAATAAACCATGGTTGAATACTCTGAAAAAAATCGAACTCAGTTAAATAGGAATACTCTCAAGAAGGACGAGAAGAAGCAGTAGGCAGGCTGCTTAGAAGTAAACTACAATTTACCATCAGGATGAAGACTTTGTGATCAGAAAGCATAGTCGTTTAATCAATTATTTTATGCCGGCGTTATGTTTCCTGTTTTGTCTTATTGAGTGTTGAAAGTTTTTGTGTTTAACTACTGATAACCTACTCTGTACTTACTCCCTACCTTCGTTTCAGTAAACAGTCTAAGAATGAAGATCCACGATGTAGTACTAAGAAGCAGTTGTTAGGGATCTTAAAACTCTGGTAATTGACAAAGTGCTTGGGTACTCACATGTCAAGATTTATTGATACTGTTTGCATTACTTGCTACCGGAAAACTACGGTAATAAGTGACGGGAACGATGATTCTCTCTTTACATAAAATCATGTATTTGAGTAAGAGACAGACGGTCTAAGCTTTATCAAAAGATAGGGACCACGAAAACACATACTGTTTTCGTGGGTTTTTCTAATTCACTTAAGTACACGTGATTGACAGATACAACTAATTAACAAGAACAAATCCAAAGTGCAAGAGGCTATGGTAGTAACTAAAAATTTTGAATAGTGGCACTCCAAAGGTCTAATAAACCTCGGATTTAATTATATAACACCCCTATGACAAAACCAGTAACAATCCGGGAAGGCTTTGCTGAGTAGAAAACTATGATAGTTATTATTGAACTTATTAACATTACTAGATTAGTGATGACAGTCTAAAACAGTTTAATGACCATTGTTTGACTGTCTATTCTGAACGATTTTACACCGGAGCCGCAGCAGTATACATCGTGTTCCTAACTGTCATGTCGATTAGGCTTTGCTTCTGCTGAAGGACGTTTGAATAACAATTGTAACCTTATCAACGTAACGAAATATTTGTTATGAAGACGAAAGTGGCTCGTGGTTGTGCAAATCCCACATTGTTGAGTCAATAATTATCCAACACTAACCTTCCTCGAACCCATCCACTTCTAACCAACCATTCAATATCTAGTATATAATCTTCCATGGTCGGTACATTCAGCACGAAAGATCATTTGAATAAAGATGAATGCTCGTCCACTGTCACTGAAACTTAAAAAACAGAAACCAAATGGACCCCTGGAATCTCTGAACATTCATATCGCTGCGGATCAACTAATCTAAATTTCTTCTTATCATGATGAGAAAACCTAGGACCTAGCCACTATCTTAATAATGATTTCAAATTGATATGCTCCGATTGTTATACATGTCAAGACGGGAAACGTGAGAAAAAACATAAAAGATACTCACAACCCTTGAATAAGCTTCTTTTTCGATGACTAATAGGCTATGTATCTGGTTTTACATAACGTCCACTTTCTGCATCAACACGTAGTAACGATGTTTTTAGTACACCCAACCAAAGCAGTAACAAACCCTTCGGTGGATAGGTTCAAGGAAAGTTTGGCAACCAAGTACTCACCAATGGATTATCATCCACTGCCTGAATTGGTTGTACCTAGCGCATGTCCTACAACTTATTTACTATTATTATTATCAGCCCGTACCTAAAGACGATTTCGATCCATCTCACTTATCAACTGTGTTTAACGGTTATTCCCATGCTCCTGTTCATTCAAACTATAAAACTAACCGATAGAATTATTTATTTACTTATGACCTTTTGTCTTCTCCCTACTCTTGTGCATTAGAATCCTTTCATTATTTTTCATCCTGCAACTGACTAGCCTCCTTCCTGGAAATGTGATTGCTGTTGGTCCCAGAAACCTCAGTGCCTTGAGACAAGCGCGTTCACTCAGGTTTATAAATACACAAACCCACAAATAATAATCAAACTGACCAGATCCAATACAGTCATGTGGTTAGACAACCCCCGTTTGGCGACATCAAAGATCTGGAACATTAAAGAAACGAAAACAGGTGAGAGCGAAAATATCGTCTGGTTTACGCTAGCTCGTCAAAAAGACATTGGGTATTGGAAACTGCTCAATTTTTTCTGTCTGTATAGCTACAGAGCTAAGATCATTTCTTAAAATAACCTAATGTTCAAGGCTTTCGGTTCAGCCATCAAAGAATGACTCGCAGTTGAAATATTTTTTGATTAGTCGTGTTTTCTACCCATTGTGTTCCGCATTTCTATCTTCCATCATAAAAATCAGTACAGATAGATAGAGAGAGAGAGTTAACGGGTGTTTGGTCCTTGGGTAGTTCGTTCAGAGCTTCTGTACGTGAATGGCTGTGACGCCTTTCTTCAGTTTACGCAACTTAGTCCTGAACAAGTGCAATAATTTTTTACTTCCTGGTGAGTTCGATGTAAGACTAAATACGTTTTTCGTCACTTTGTTTCTAATTACTACGCACAATAGACATGAGTTATCACTTATTTGAGCCTCATAAACATATGTGAGTAGCGTACCACATGGTTTGCTTTGACGATATAACCATGGTGGCTGCTATTTACACAAAACATCCTTGTGATTATTTTATGGTAGCCATCCTTTCAAAACATAGTTTATTAGTCATTTGGTTGAATGAACTGGTCCGTTGTGAACAAATTATACATTTATTATGTTTTGCTTTGAGTTTTGTTTCGTCCAGTATTGAAAAATGTTTTTGGCAAGGAACAAAAAATGACTGTAGCCGGCATACGATTTTTAAAGCCTTTCGTCATGGTCTTAGCGAGCTATATGGCTGTGAAACCATGTAGAACAAGTGATATTTATTCTTAGTCTTAAATGAATTTCTTAACTCAAAGTTGACGTGTTTAAATATGTTGCAGCTAAACTAAGTGTGGTTGTTTGGTAGTTTAATCCCTAGTGAAATGAACTATAATCTCTAGGGATTTATTTGTTTTGAGTTTATTGGCGTGTATTAGCTCAACTGTTAACTTTTCTGTTATCCGGTAGTTCTTACCAGAATTTAATCTTATTCAACTAATCCTATTCACCTTTATTCTCTAGTGATTGGTTAAAAATCAGACATAGAAAACGATCTCGGTTCATCACACTAATAAGCTTCGAAGTTTTTTTGTCAAGCAGAGGTAATAGGATTTGTGTGAACTTATTCTAATACCGCTCTTCAAAATACACCATATGTATATTGGAACAAAAAAGCATCCTAAGATCTTATGTTGCCGGCAGACTAGGCTTCACATGTACTACATATTTAGAACAGGTAGTTTGTATATTACATAGCTAACGATAAAGTTTCCCTTGTTGGTAGGTAGATAAGTAACCTAAAGCGACTGGTCTTCAGATATTGTGGTGGCTGTCACGCGTAAGTACTTTACTCAATACTCTTCAGTTTTAGAAAGTTATTGAGTAGAGACTAAAAGATTAGTTTCATGACTAAATCTAATAGCTATGGCTTATATTCTGTTTATCTCATGATTGGTTCATATCTTGTTATTTCACTTCATTTGCCGTCCTATTATACTGTTTTTTAACATCTCTTGCTGCCGTTTTTGTTAAACCGTTACCCTTTGGCAGATTTTCTCTGGAAGTAATTTTGTTAATTCAGTCTTGTGACGATTTTCAGGTTGTTCAGTCTATGTTTATTCTTTCCCATGCCTGGTAGTTCGGGTAACAAACTGAGGGGACTTCTAGTTACGTCTCCTAACGAAACAGATTTTTGTGTTTCTGATATTTGCGTTAAGTATATCCTCTACTCGATTGTAGAAATAATTGTGTGTGAATCATTACAAACGTCTCAATTCAGATGCGAAATTTATAGCCGGAATTCATCGATCTAATTTAAAGCAATAGGGGTATGGTACCTAGCTGTGATATACACTTAAATTTCGTTCTGTAACTCCAACTAGTTATACCATACTGGATTCTTGATTTATAGTCTAATTTCTATATCCTTAAGTTCCCCATGGCTTTATAGAGTTCTGGTGATGTGAAACTGTTTCTGATTACTACTTTTATTTGATGAATGTTACTATTTAAAAACTGACTGGTATGTGGCCAGACTTAACAGTAATTCCAGTTTCACTGCTTTCATGTCTTATCTAAAACTTTATAAATGAATATACCTGGATAGTTAGTGTAACTTTATGTTGGGGGAAACATGTTGATCTTTGTTGTTCTGTTACGAATCAAAACTGAATTGTTTTACAATTCCCCATTTTGTGGTTCTTCCAGTGTTTTAATTAATAGTCGCTTGTTTAAAATAATTAACTGTGCTGTTCTGAAATTGTTATCAGAGAGGTGATTCATTGGGTGAATTTAATTTGTGATAATCCTTATATTGTACTTCTTAACCTTCAGTGTAATTTATGCTAGCCATTAATTTATTTATTTATGAGAATTTAACGTTGCACAAAGCCTTAGGTTTAATATGAACACAACAGTATTCATTAGTTAAAAAAGTTCTATTTACTTCCATTAATTTCAGTTATTATACGAATCATCTGAAAAACCTAATCTTCGGCATTCCTTTCACACCCGTGTAATAATTGCAACTCATTTGAATAAAGGAAAAGTCATGATTTCAAGGATTATCTGATTATGGTATTGTAAAAAATATTTTAGGAAGTAAGGTAGTATTTTCTCAAGATTTTCCCCAGAAAGTTGTCCTCCCTACAGTTTGAAATAAGATGATCAAATATCTTTTTAAAGGTTTTATTGGATACTTTGATTGATTTTATTAATGAGCATAATTCTGGTCACCAAGTTTCTGTTCACTTCATTCTGCCTACATATTGTTTGTTTGCATTATATATTCTTCAAGGATCATCCCGAGATAAGTGCTACAAGTTTTTGCTCGATGGCTACTTTGTCGGATTCATCCACCCAATGTTTTTGGATTGGTTATTGAAATATGCAAATGTTTTTGTTAAGATTTCTCATCCGCAACACGGTGATCATTGTATTACAGTGCATCAGGCCATGATAAATGTGAATGACCGCAGCAATGCAGTGGCAGAAGTGATGCAAGATTTGCGGACCACAAGTCCTTTCAAGGCTCTAAAAGGATGGAGAAACGAGGTGAGTTATTTGTTCCAGATGCTCTTGTTGCTCTTTTTTAATTTTATAGGCCTGAGATACCTCAGAAAGATTGAACAAATATTTCAGAACAATTATAGTCTTCGGTAAAGACTTTTTGTAACCTGTCGACTTCTTTAGTCTATTCTTAGTATGACCTGAGGTTTCCTATGGTGATTCCATTTTATTTTAATCACCAGACCTTTATAAGGTAGGTCAATCGATTACCTAACTGTGTGGTTCACCACTTATTGGTTGGTTATCATTGATATGTAGTGATACTAAACCATTGGGTTTGTGGTTTCTTTCACTGAAGTTTTATGTGATATACACTTTCTCGTTCTTTCTACTTTTTATGAACTATGAATTACTTTATGCCTGGATCGTTCGGACTCAGTTTCGTAAGAAATAAATAAATTTGTAATCACATCACTTGTATTTGAATTCATAATCATTTCGCGTAGTTGTTATGTCGATTTTAATGAAATCGAAATTCAGTCACTACAAAACATATAGTCATTCTGTACGTTATTAATGCAGAATATTAAATGATCCATGTAAGCTATTAATTTTGAGTAGTCTGCTATATGCTTATTTCTTACTATTCTATCATAATTCAAAGTTTCACTTATTAGGTATTGTGATTTATCTTCCAATTACTTGTCTTTCTAGAAAATTACTTTGAAAAGGGCCTTTGACTTATGTTTTTACTTTTAACAAAATTAATATTCTGTGCTATAATATAACGATACTTATTGAAAATTATATAATCACTGCTAAACTACTATCATGCTTCAAAACTGGGTTGAAGCCCCGTTGTTTGAAAAGTTCAAAAAATATTTGATTTGTCCATTTATAGCGGATGAAATAAGTGTCGAATTTCTGACACAGTAGATAAAAGTTAGCTGCTTAAACATCTAGGTTACAGCTTTACATGAATTACGTGATTTTATCTGAACATTATTAGATATTTAAATTCGAGGCATTTAATGAAGTTCTCACAGCTTGTAAATGTGGATTTAAGCATCATAGGTGCATTACTGCCTAGATATTTGATTAATAGACAACCGTGTGAAATTACATTAATAGACTAACTGTAGCTAATTAGTCTCAGCATTTTAATCGATAAGGTAGTTAAATAGTATCAGTTTAGTAACCTTATATTGAGATAAATCATATGAGTACTTATTCAAAATAGTGCCTTCTTGAATTTCGCCAACATATCTCCATAAATATTTTGTTGTTATTATCAGAAGTGTGTAAACGGTTATTGATTTATTGATTTTAAAATAGGACTATGGCGTTTACGTTCATAACCGTGAAAAAGTATTATTAAAAATTGAACGTTCAGCATCGAGTCTTCTGGGTATTACACGATATGGTGTACATGTAAATGGTTTTTTCTCAAATCGATACAACTACTCTAGAAAGTCTGATCGAATCGTTAATGGCAGCTCACGTAATTCCAACGATTCTAATTCACTCGCTCAAATTGGTCCGGACAATGTTTTTATGTGGCTCGGTTTACGATCAATAAACAAACCTACATCTCCTGGAATGCTCGATAATATGGTAATATATATATATATATATATATAGTATATAAATTATATTTTTATCTCTCGACAGCCCAATCCTATCGTTAGTACAATATTTTAAATTGATTATGTAACTGTCGGTTCATGACACTACATCATTCTGTTATGGAGCCGTGCCCCAGTAGTTTAGGTTTCTAGAATTTTTCCGCTAATGATTCGCGGATTAGAGTCCTATCTCACCTACTTTGGTTAGAACGATCTGGCTCGGAGTCAAGTACACTAATTTGTACTTGGTAACTGAACTAAAAATATTTCAAGCGCTTCAAATGTTTTGGTGTAAAGCGTGGTTTTAAAGTTACTTACTTGCTCTTGTTACCCCTCACGGGGGAGCATAGGTCACCCACCAGCATTCTCCATCCAGATCTGTCCTGGACAATCCTTTCCATTTTTCCCAGTTTCTATTCATCTTCTTCATGTCTGCTTTCAATCCCCGACAGTGTTCTTTGGCCTTCCTCTTTTCCGTTTACCTTCAGGATTCCAAGTTATTACAGTCCTTGTGATGCGGTTTGGTGACTTCGGTAATGCATGCCACCAATGTCTTTTCTAATTTCCTATTCAGCTGGGATCTGGTTTGTTTTCTCCTATAAAAGGTTGTTGCTGGTGGTATCCGGTCAATGGACATTGAGTATCTTGAGTAAACAACTATTTATAAATAGTTGTACCTTTTGATTATGTTTATGGTAGGTCTCCAAGTCTCACCTTATAGTAGAACTGTATTGACGTTCTGATTGAAGATTCTGACTTTTATATTAATTGACAGTTGTTTTGAGTTCCGTATGTTCAGTTGTAGGATTGTGGCCCTTGCTTTACCAATCCTTGCCTTTACGTTTGCATCGGACGCTCCTTGTTTATCGATGATGCTCACCAGGTACGTGAAAGTCCCCACATATTACAGAGCTTCATCAAATGTGATGTCATTGATGCTCTCCGTGTTGTATTTCACGATCTTGGATTATTTCCTTGTGTATGTTGAGGCCTGCTGATGCAGAGGTCTCTGCTACACTAGTTGACTTAACCTGAATTTGTTCGTGTGTATGGGATAGAATAGCCAGGCCATCTGCAAAGTCTGAATCGTCTAGTTGCATGCAAGCTTTCGATTGTATTCTGTGCTTTCCGTCAGATGTGGAGGTCTTCATGATCCAGTCAACCACCAGAAGAAATAGAAAGTCAGAGAGAGTAAGCAGCCTTGTTTTACTCCGGTCCTCACTTAGAATGCGTCTGTCACCTGTACTTCATGCACCACTTTGCAGTGTTGTCTATCATATGAATTCCCGATGATGATGATGATGATGACGATGATTTTCTCAGGTACACCGTAGTGCCGAAGAAGGTTCCATAAGGTTTCCCTATCCACATTGTCAAACGCATTCCCATAGTCAAAGAACTTGATGTACAGTGACGAGTTCCATTCAATTGATTGTTCAACTTAAAGAGAGAAAAAATGAAGATTTGTGCATAATAATATGAATTCATTTTATTTCGTTAGGTTCTCATCATCTGCTTACGACCTAAAATATTTGAAAATCAACGTTATTACAGATATTGACATACTTATACATAAGAGGGTGATTAAAGATGAATATATATATCATGATGTAGCTACGAAATAAAATTAGTTCATGTTATTCTGCACCAATCTTCCTTCTTTCTCTCTTTGAGATAATAAGGGGAACTATGTGTATGATTGTTCAACGGTGGTTCTTAGTGATGTGGTTTGTGCATGACCGATCCTTAGAGAATCCAGCCTGTTGATCTCGAAGTTGGGCGTCTACTGAGTCTTTCATCTGGTTCAGCAACACTTTGTTGAAAACCTTTCCTGGTACTGTTAATAGTTTGGTGCTTCTGTAGTTCTCGTATTTGCTCAGATTTCCTTTCTTTTGCATCTTGGTGAGGTATCCTTCTTTTCAGTCTATCGACGCTTGTTCTTTCTCCTAAATCTTCCTGAATAGAACACGGAGCATTTTTGCAATTGCTTCTATGTCTGACTTCATTGCTTCAACTGGTATATTGTCAGGTCCCTCTGCTTTCTCACGCTTGATTTATCTGATGACCATCCTGATTTCTCTGATCTTTGGTGGATTGACATCTATAGGAGGGTCTGTGTGTGTTGCTTCGATGTTCGGTGGATTCAGTGAAGCTGGCCTACTAAAGAGTTCCTTGAAGTGTTCCACCTATCTGTTCCTCTGCTTTTGAATCTGAGTTATTGTCCTGCTTTCTTTGTCCTTGACCAGTCTCTGGTTTACTTTATTTTCCTGTTAGTTTCTTCGTTGTATCATGTAACTGTCTTATATTCCCTTCTCTTGAAGAATTTTTCGTTGTCGTTGCTAGCTCTTCCACATGTTTCTGCTTGTCGATTCTAGTGCTCTTCTTCACTTGCTTGTCTGCTTATGTGTATTCAGCTTGTGCCTTGACCTTCTCTGCTCTTGTTCGACTGTTATTAATTGCCGTCTTCTGTTCTTCCTCTCTTGAATCTTGCCCGGTGTATAAATAGAGATCCATTCCTTATGATGATGCTGCTTGCGACACAGCACCTCCTGACACATTGAAGTTAATTCTTATTTGATCCCTTTACAGTTGTCTCCCATCGTAGTTTCTTCTTCTTACAGTAGATCGTGTAAGACTTGGAACCTGTTGTTGAGAGTCATCTTGAATTCGTTGAGTTTGACAGTATCTCATAAGAAGGCTGTATTGAACCTTCGTACTACTGTCTTCCCAGCTGTTTAGTGTTTCTTTAGATTTAGTTTCATCTTGACCATAACCAGATGGTGATATGAAGCTGTCAGCTCCTCTCCTGGTTCTCACATCTTCCATAATCCTATTGAATTTTTTATTGATATAAATATGATCGATCTGGTTCCCCGTTATGTGATCCGGTGAGATGCATATGGCTTTGTGTATGCATTTGTGTGGGAATATTGTACGAGCTAAAACCAATTTGTTGAATGCACCTAGGTTTGTAAATCTCTCACCATTTTTATTTCTCTCTCTCTCAGTCCATGTTGTCCCATGGTATCTTCATATCCAGTGTTGTGTGTTCCAACATTGTCGTTTAGGTCTCCCATCAAGATGATCAGGTCTTTTCCTGGACACTTCGCTATCATCGATTGGGGCTTTTCATAAAACTAATCTTTATTGTCGTTGTTGCTATCATTGGTGGATGTATAACATTGGATAACACTCATTGTGATTCCCTCCTTCTTTGTTTTGAATAATGCTTTGATGATTCTGGGTTCATGAGATTCCCATCCTATAAGTGCATTTCGTGTTTGTTTGGACAGTATCAGAACAACTCCCTAACTGTGTGAAATATTTTTCTCTTCATGACCGGAGTACAGCAACATCTTCCCTGAATTCACCCTTTTCTGTCCAGCTTGAGTCCGACGTATTTCACTGATTCCGAGCACCATCAAGTTGTATCTCCTCATTTTGTAGCTATTCGAATAGTCCTCCCGGTCTCCCACATTGTCCAGACATTTCATGTATGTCTCTCTGGTTGTTAGAAGGGGTATCGGCCTCGTGACTTCCGAAGAGTTTCGGCTTTCACCTTGGGGCGTCATAATTCCTCTGAATGAAGATCCTTCAACTCAGAATAGAGTTTAAGTTGTTCATTTTGGTTAACGTTTTTGAGTAAGGTTACTTTCTACGATATGGGGTTGTTGACTCCATGCCCAACCTTTGGGACCGACAGTAGCCCTAGAAGTCCTACAGGCAGAGATTGTTAAAGTTAAATAGACTTAAATATTTTATGATATTTTGTATTTAGTACACTGTCAAAAAAACTATCTTAAATAAAACAGGTAGGTCACTTTTTGAGCACTGACTATCTCTTGCAACTAATGGTTATCACTTAAACCTGTACTTATCAACTCAGTATTTGTAATCATACAGTAAGTAAATTATATTTTTTAGTAACTTACATTTCTAGGGCCTATAAATATAATCCGAAACGTCAAGACACTCAAGTTTAATTAATACGATCACCCTGTTTCACTATATTGAGTAATAGTAATTAGATTTCTCTAGCCACTTAATTGTCTCAACAGTAATTACTGACTAATTATTACAAAGTATTTCAATAACTGGTTGAATATTTTATAAATATACATGGATCGCATACTTTTTCATGCATAATTCATAATTTTCTTTATTATTTTCCACCGTACTATATTGTGTGAAATTTTGTTGTGCTAAATTTTATAGGTTGATGACAACAACAACATCTAACAAGGTTATTCTCTACTCAAATCGACCAACAAACGACTTTTCTTTTTATTAGATACAATTAATAATTTTACAAAGCCTTCAAATATATTCTATATGTTTAGCAATTAGTGTCAAATCAATAATCATAGTATTCATTTGGTTATATTGTTCATTTTCACGGTGTGTATATGTCTTAATGCTCTAGATTATAAACACATGTTTTTAGTAAATATTCGTTATTGGCTAGCGCTGGAATCCAGGAAGTATGTTTCAGCTTATATAAATTTGTTAGTTCAGTGTATAAGCCCTTGAAGTTAGAAGCAGAAGATTACCGGGTTTGAACCGTAATGTGGGCATCAATTCTGGGGTGCAGGTACATATCCAGTTGGCAAGTCCCAAATAGGACGAAACACACTTCCTTGATTCCAATGCTAGCCACAACCCAATTTTGTTAAAACTAATCGACTATGTGACAGTACTGAGGCAATGCACTATGATGCACATACACCACTTGCAAATGACCAGTCACGGTCCTTGTCATTACCAATAGGAAAACAAAATCCTTTACAAAAAGCAAATATTTTTGTTTTACTACTCGTTATTAGATTAATATCTGAATATAGTGAATAATATAAATGATTAATAATTAAACTAATTCAAAACTATCTACAGTCAGCCAAACACAACATAGAACCTCGTACATGTGTACATTGGTTTACATTTTCATACATCATCAGCACAGCGATATGAAATTATTAGGGTTATTCATAGAGCAGTAGACGTATGAGCAGTATTAATGGTAGTAAAAAAGATTACACATTAAAGATACGATCCAAGAAAATATAAATTAGTGAAGTAAACAAAACTATGAGGAATTCATAAGCTTAGGATCTGGAGGAAGACAAAGAATGGATCCATCTGTGCCATTAACAAACGATTTTCAGCCATGTCATTCCACGTCTCCAACCACTGGTTACGATAATGACGTACAACCCGACCAGATACTTTATACTTGTAAACATGGCTCAATTCAATTGTCTATGACTCATCTATTTTTACTGACCATGTTTCATACCCTTGAAGTAGAACGGAGAGAACCGTTGCTCGGTAAGCTCGTTTTTGGTTGACAGACGGATATCTCACCTATGCCACAGGCGATGTAATTTGGTAATAGCCAATCCGGCTTTCTGAATCCATACCGAGATTTCGTCAGGAACTAACCCATCATGACTGGTGAGATTCCCAAAATAAGTGACGTGGTCAATACACTCAACTACCTTATTTCCTATCGTTAATTCGGGTGCTGGGGTAATCCAATCTTAAAGCAAAATTTTGCACCTGATGGGAAAGTATCTGCAAAAAGGGATGTATTCATGAATATGAGAGATTAAACTTTTTTGAACGTTCTTTAAGATTTTTTTGGGAAGATTGATTTATTGAGTATTTCCATAAAAAGTCAATAGTTTTATGCGTGACGTAGAGACTTATCATAACCGTATATGATTAGGTAAGAAATTACTAACTAATTGCATAACAGTTTCATTTGATGATAAACTCGAGTTGTTTTTTTTACATATTCTGATAAAATCTTTGAGATTTTTTTCCATTCTAATAGTGATTGAGTAGACTGAAGTTGTAATTTTAGGAGTTCGAATTCATAGTCGAAAACTAAGTTTCGTAGTTTTGTTGTTGGACTTTAATTGATCACTGAATTTCATGCATATGGATTAATTATTTTGTTTCGAAAATGTATTACCTCTATTCTTGGTTATCCAACTTTGAAATATCGGTAAAAATGCATTACATAGTCGTTTTATGGCCCATCTTTATACAACGGTCATTGTTTAAATGGTGTTAGAAAATTTTTAAAAATATTTCATCTAAGACAGTTCAGAATGTTTTTTACATCAAACAAAATACAAGAGTTTTATTTAAAAGTAGATGTCTTGTTTTCTTCACCATTTAAAATGAGTTAAATTATAATAGCGACGTATTGTAGAAAGATATATCCATCTATTTATCTACCTATCTACATATTAGTATTTTTGGTGACTACTTATCGGTTTTATTATCCATTATGAATTATGAGCAAATGTGGATACAGATTTTTCTAATTCATAAAGAGGGTAATAAAAAAACTTATTCAATACATTTGAACTGAACTATATGAAAGGATAACTTTTTTCTGAAAAATATTTGAAATTTCATTTTCTAGATGTAAACAACCCATTTACAAGTAACCAGATTTAATCTACTTAATTTGAGGATAACATAACACTTTTTTGTTGTTTTCCGAACTTACATTCAGGCTGCTGGAGGTTTAACATATGGTCTAGATGTAATGGAATGTGCTCGTAAAGAGTGTCAAGAGGAAGCAAGTGTACCAGAGCATATGCTTGGTAAACTAACCCTTGTAAATCAAATCAGGTAAGTTGTATTTATATAGTGTAAAAACTAATTTTGAATTAGAATATTACATTTTATTTAGTTTATCGATGAAAATATTTTTTTACTGAATAACTTGGTAATATTTTAGTTTTCTTAACTTTTTATTTATTTAAAAAAAACCCAGATAGTTTGGATATCAGATCGTTGGAGATAGTCGACAGGAAACACTAGACTAGACCTAAGTTTCATTCTAGCTTTTACTCCTCGTCAGCAAGGTGTACTTGTAGTGTTGACGGAACCGATGTTGTATGTAACTTTCAAACCTGGATCATGCAGCGTTACATTGGATACATTACCATAGTTATTCGGGTTATCATTTATTTCCCATGGGACTGAATTATTTGGATTGATCAGTTACTGTGTAATGATTAGTGTCATGTTCCCCTAATTAATGCCAAGTCCTGATCGTTTTCTATCAACTAGGTTTCTTATGCATGAAACTGATTGTATTTATATATAAAGCTTAACCTTTTGTAGCTTTCTGTTCAGCCTGAAGTGACATTGTGTGCTGAGGGGAGGGCAGGAAAATGATGAGCTGCTTATGTTAGAAAAATTTGAAAAATAACAGAAAAAGTGGGTCGACAACTCTGTGGAAGCCCATAAGAGGATGTACCTACTTTTATTAATGAATGCAACCGACAAAAGTTTGCAATAAAACAAGAGTGAGTTAAAAACAAATCTAATTATTGAAGCTAGTGGAGTAAGATTTCGGATGTGTTACCGGTTGATCGTAAGAGATGAGTAAATTCGAGATAAGCTATTATTAAATAAATAAATAAAATACTAGAAGTGACTAAATATTCGTTTATCTTAGTTTAAGATTTCTTGCTTATACAGGTCCTTCTATTATCTATCCTATCATCAATTGTCTGTGTGTAAACATTTTATTAGTTAGGTAGGCAGCTACTATATCACTGTATTCACATGTTAGTACAGTCAAAAAAATTATATGTCGACTTATTATTTCTACCTCTCTTATGATCATCTCTTAGCATCGATAGATACTGTGTTCACTAACCTAATTCAATAAATTTAAATATGAAACATTGTTTTAGAAGTTATAATGATACGGTCAAACTTAACTTGAACTATAATCAGGCTCTTTACTTATATATTTGAGGAGGTTAGCAACATTTATTTCAAACTAACGCCAATTCTACCGAGGAAATATAATTATTCCAGTCAGTAAGTTATATACACCGATAAAATGATAGTACCTCTAAAGAATTTTAATGATTGATGTTTTCAGAATTACATATAGTCACACATGCGCTATAAACGTGATCCTGTAACAACAACCTTAATCTATCGTAAAGTAGTCGTTAAATTACTTTAATGGTATCACAGATGTGTCGATTACGTCATCATCGCCTTATTACCATAATCCTTTTCATGTATTTGTGGTCATGACTGGAAACAGATCACTTGCTTTCAAACCCTCGTGTTATTTAATCTTCGCTATTAGCTCTTTTTTTATTATTATTATTATTGTTATTATTATTATTATCACTCATTACCGTTATTGTTATTCGAAGTATCTTATAAGTTTTAAAGTATAAATTTACACTGATATTCAATTCTTAAGGTCAAGTAACAAACACATTTGTAAAGTCATGTGTATAATTTGTAATAACTCGAACTCCAATTTATTAAAGTCTTATAATATATTGATGTATTTATTTTAATTTGTATTTGCCTTTTAAAATTACCTTAATTTTTTGTGTATGTACCATTATAATATGTCATTATGAATAAAGTGAACTAGTCAGCTGATGAATAGTGCATAATTTGCCTGTTCGTTTTTTAATGTTTACCGGTTCTTGTCAATTTCCAATTTTGTGTCAAGTTATCTGACCTATGTACCGGGGGGGGGAGTGCGTCGGTTTTAATGTCAATCTAACTGATAAAACCTATCGGTCATTGTTCTTAAGTATAATGTCTTAGTTAAGGTTACTTATGATAGTCTTTGTATGATTTTAAACCATATTGTTTTGTTATGCATAAATGATAATTCAAAATATTAATATACTAACATTTACATCTTCTATTGGTTTGAATATTTCGATTATTTTAGTTGAGATAACTAGAAACAATTTCACCATTGACAGTTTCAGCTTAAAATACTCAAGTTATTGATTTCATGGACAACTGTAGAGATTCGCTTAACTAATGACATCCTTCCTAAAAGAGGTTAAATTATGATGGTACGGAAATTATTTGATTTCGAAAAAATTTCAGCCATCAGAATTAAATTCAATAGTTCAATAGATAATAATCTCTTCATTGTGCCTGAAAGGCATAGTTTCAATTATATTTGGAATTGTGTTCATATTAACGATTAGTCCCTATAATGGTATAGATACAGAAGAACATTTTACCCTATTCTAGTTTTCAATGCTTATTTAGCTTGTAATGTAATCCACTTTGAATGTGACCAGTACTAATTCTCCAATCAATAAACTTTAAAAATGTTTCAGCAATCTAATTGGTTAACAAATGTTCTAGTTGCCATTAGTTTTTTAAATTAATGATAATAATTGATATTATTACTATTGTTGTTATCCGACTTAATAAACTGTATTATCCTAATTGACAATACATATTTTTTTTCTATCAATTGGCTAAAAAGTAGTGTTTCATGGTAATCTTACGACTGAATCGTTTTAAATCATTGCGCAGTACGAATATCATCCTGACTTTGCTTATTCGTTTCCCTTTCTAGGTCATTCGATTTTTCTGGTATTTTTATTTTATTTTTACTGACCTAAATTTCTAACCTTAAGGATATGATCATATTGACTAATAATAATTGATCAAAGAAGATCAAATCTCAAGGTCAGTCAATGTACTAATCAGAGGATTCGTTTGTATGTATATATATATAATAGTCTGTACATAAGTTTCGCTTTAATTCCATTAATATATTAAAAAGAACCCAGTTAGAAGAAACCGATATTTTGAAGCATTACACAGAAGTGTGAGGAATCCGGAAACACATTATACTGTTGTGAGATAACTAAATCAAGTAATAATATATTTTTGGATATGAAAAGAATAGGAAAGAGTTCTGTGAATAATCACAATTTTTTCCCGCATTATATCTGTATGATAATGTGAAAATAGCCTTCGTGAGTGAATGAGAGAAACAAATACACACGCGCACGGGAAACATTTCGCCTAAGCCACAACTTATGCAAGTTGGCAAGCGCCCAGCCGGGCCATCTGAGTCCATGCCAAGATTTTGCCAGGCACAAGACCACCAGGATTGATGAGACTTCCAAGATAAGTGACGTGGTCGACTTTCTCAACTGCTTCATTCCCTATTATTAGTTCAGTCGTTGATTCAGAACAGTCCTGAAGCAATATTTTGCATTTAGAAGAAGAGTAATCCATCCCAAACATGCTTGTATGTTGCTTCTGATCGCCTTGAACAGCGAAATAAGAATAGTAAGGATGTTACTAATATATATTTTATCTCTAACCGTTTTTATTCATCTCTCTTTTATTTCTTACCCTATATTTTACGCTGTGAAAGATTGTTTTCTTGCAGGTGTTAATAAATAAGTCAAAAAATATATTATTCCCGATCGTAACTTTAACTTTGATGTAGAAGTCAAGCTTACCAAACTTGTTGACCAAGCCGAGGTATATTGGCTGAAACACTTTTTACTTTAGATTCTAACTTTCCAGGGAGTTCAAATTGTTTTTGCTTTATCTTTTATAATATTAAAGATTCCCATTGTGAAAATTAGAACAACACATATAAGCGAACAATTGTTTTCAATTAGATCGTCATCAGGCTTTACTCTAATATACATGAATATTTATACGAAAATGTTAAACCAATCAAGGCAATATGAGTCAATAATCACAATGAAATAGAATAAGTCACTACACATAATAGGTACAAGTTGATAGTACGAAGACAGGTGAACAGATAGTGGTAAGAATAATAAACTACAATAACAAAGCTCTTATCAATAGTTAATGGTTGGAAATAGAAGGTCAAATAAACATGGGTAAATAGACTAGGAATAGTAATCACAAAACATTAAAAATCATTACGTAATAAGATGTGTGTAAATAATTAGATAGTGAAGAATACAAAGAGGCGGATAATGACAAACAAATAATGGATGTGGAAATAAGGTTAACAATAACACAGATAGAATAAAATAAATAATGATAATAATAAAATTTGAAATAAAAAAAATTGTTAGTTAGGTTATAACTGGCCATGGAAGGGATAGGGGAGTCACGTATTTCTTCTGTACACATAGATTGGGGTTATATGTACGAATTCCAATGGCTTCAGCTATATATAGGAGACGGGAACGGACTCCGTCAGGAAATGATGGAGGTATACGATAGATAACTCGAAATGATTTCAATTTATCTACTGCATGACCGCTATCAATAAGATGTGCTAGTATAGAGCTGCGAATAGTTTTTCTCTGACCCTTTATGTACCAAGTTGGTAGATGTTCACTCATTCGTTGGTTAAGTTGCCTGGTAGTACGCCCTATATAGCTATCTCCACAGGAGCAGCTGAATTTGTAGATGCACATGGAATATTCATGTATATTAGAGTAAAGCCTGATGACGATCTAATTGAAAACAATTGTTCGCTTATATGTGTTGTTCTAATTTATCTTTTATGCCACCACTTAAAGTATTACTAATTTTACCTATCTTGGATTTATTGTGACAACTCCATCTCTCTATACTGATATGGTGTGTTAGCTTGAACCGATGCACAAGTGTGGCAGGTTCTACATTGCTTACGACTGGCTGATTTTATGTTTTAACTAGTCAGACAAATTGAGAGACTTGAACATTACTTGTTATCTCATTGATGTCTACCTAATAATATACGGGTACTAAGTTAAGGCCTTGATACGATAGGCTAACTGAGGTTAACCTTGAGGCTAGAAAATGCTTGAGTCCGACTTGAGACTAATGGCCTTGGAGAGAGACGGGAACCATTTTATCGCTTGATTGGTGGACAAGCGCACGAGAGAGAAGCCAAATCAGCTGGAACACTACTCGGTTTATACCCGATTCAGACTATTGTAAAAAGGTACATGAATAAATAGATGATCAACATGACTAAAGTGCACAAACAATTAGAAAGATACAATCATATCCAAACTGGGCATTAAGGAGTTAAAATAAGGTACCAAAGGTCATGTCTAAGTTACAACAGATTTTGAACAGAAAAGGATATGTCATTGAATCATACATCAAACGAAAGCTTATGGTTTATAGAATAAACTAGGGGCAAAACTAAATGTTAGTATTTTGCAAACTTTTAATTAAGTGAAATAGCGTCTCCGAAATAGCTTCCGTTGTTTGTCATGGCTTCTTCGTTTCTCTGTTCACATCATTACTGGATAATAACAAAATTATTGTATAAAGCTTATCCTTCTAAGTTTGCGTATATTAGAAAATCAGTATACATAGAAACATTTGCATAACTTGACTTTGATCCCCATACCTTTTGATGTAATTGTAGAACTAATGATATCATCTGGCTAAATAAACCGAAGAAGGATTTAAATGCGAAATTTAATTGTTTAAAATCTGGTTAACGTTGTAAAAATGGGAATAGTATTTCAAATTAAACTGGGTAATGTTTTTATGTATTTATCACAGATTGATCTTATCGGTGCACTGTTGAAAACCTGAGAGCACTTAAAATTTGTTTCTTCCTGATATGAAACTTCTCGCCATTTCTCACTCACAACCTCATGAAAGACCAAACCAGGGAGTTTCAAATCTCACAACAAATGCTTATCTATCAAGACCCAGCAATAACCAGGTTTAATCCTTTATGGGGTCATGAGTGCATCGTGTGAAGTTTCACATTAGTTCGAAACAGTTCTCCAATGCTCTCTGGTTTTCAACTGTACTATATGTGAGATCGATTAACAACTAATACTATCTACAAATTAAAGTATTCTCCACAAAATTCTTTCAAATAAACAGGATTATATATTTTTTGTTAATGATTCATCCCTTTTGTAACTACTATGCTATAACATTTAGAAGGGTAGAGTGTTACTATCTAACCATATTTCGTTAAATTAACTTTTAAATTGACCAATTAATTTTATTATAACTTATTAATAAATTTATTGAACTTATCTTTTTCTTTTGAAGAATGTTTGCTTACTTAAACTAATCAGGTGTAGTAATTTCACAAATGGAATTTCACTCCACTTGCTGTAGAAGTTATTATAAATACCTTAAAAACTAATGATTTATCTAAAAAGCTGTGTAATGTTTAAGAATCGTTCACAATGATGTAAATGCATTCACTATTTATCTTGAATTCTGATACTCTTTCATACATACCTTTCCATTCTGTCTTTTAGAATTATATTCTCAATATTTATTGTTTCTTATTACCATTGCTACTCTATTATTTCGATCATTGTAATTACTTATCTTGTTATTTTCATCTCGTATTTCTACTGTGTTATGGCAACGTAGAACAATACAGGCTCTGTGTTGATTATTACTGACTAACTGAACGACTACTTCGGTCATATGTTGGAGCTCACTTCTGTTTCTGTTTATTAAGCCACTGGATATTTGAGAAAGTCCTTACATATTCAAGTATATTACATATTTTAGTATACAGAACCTATAGAAATTTATGAAATACAGTTGATAAAATGAATATGATTCTCTTTAATCTGAATTTTCATGCGTTGTCTTATTACCATCATTGGTAGTGACTTCATTGTCGTGTTAATTTTTTTGAAAGATTGTTAATCATATAATGAAACGAAATAGTTATAGCAAACTTATGGTTAATCACTACTGTTTTTTTAAATACCTCCGTAGTAATTTCACTAATGCATGGTTACTAGAAGAGTCTGATTAGGACTCAAGTCAGTAACTTTATTTTCTGTGTCATATTTCACCTGAGTTACGTAGGAATTATTTACGCTTCAGTGGTAGTTTTTAACTGTATCATCATATGTGATGTGCCCTTACTCCTCGACTGACGGCATTAGATTACTCATGTTCATAAATATATGTTCCGCAGATAAGTATGTGCAAACATTTAATCTATGTTGCAAGATTTCCGCTAACTTACTGTCAAGAATCTGGATTCTGCTTCTAATTATGTACAATCGATTTTAAGAGCTAATTGATGTTATTCTTGTATAGTATTTTATTTACTTTTCATGTCCAGTATGGTTCGTTTTAGCTCAAATTTACATTTTGCTGAATTATTTAACATTTTCTTGTTCACTACTCATCAACTTCAATATGATCTCTAGGTTTACTATTGAATTAGACTATTCCAATTCTCCTAAAAAATCGACGAAATTACCCTCTGTTTTTATTTGAATTCCATTTTCTTTAAATCAGTTATATTTTTGAAGATGAGCGCGGTGTTTGCCCACAAATTGAATATTGTTTCGATCTGGAATTACCGCCAGATTTTATCCCTGTTAGCTCTGATGGTGAAGTGGATAGTTTCCGATTAGCCAGTATATCAGAGGTAATGTGTATATGTATTGTACTTTCATTAAAAAGAAGTTTAATTAATTCACAATTCATATGTTAAAATTATAAATAATTTTAGCTAGTGGAAAATTGTACATTTTCTCCTCTGCTTTTATTGTGTTCTTTTTTTATTGAAAAATATTTTTAAAAGTTTATAGTTCGATCTCATAGGTTGGAAGGAAAGAAGGTGATGACAGTTCGCTAGGTACTCATGATAGGTAGTAGTTGATGACCATTAGTAATGTGGATGAAAATCAATTATTTTTCTAACTGTTCAGTTTAAGGATTATGTCTTACTTCTAATTCTTTGATACATTCGGTCTTTTCGCAATATTTACTATTTGAGATTTCTTACTGTTATTGATGTTAATATCATATTGACTCTCTTAATCTTCATCTCATTGATTTTCCATCTTGGATAAATTGACGTAAAATGTTACAATGTGGACAGAGATGTATATTTCTATCACTTCGTAAATTATTTAAAATTGATTCATCACCTTTAATCAATTTGCCCTATTATCAGAAAATTATAATTATTGAATGTTTTTACCTTCTTTTTTTTCAGTGAATTACTTTCATACAATGAATAAATGCTCTTTATATGCTTATACTCTTTAGAATAATATTTAAATATTAGACAACAATAATAGTTTAGTTAATAATTCATATTATTGAATGCGTATTGTTATCATTTCATCATTCAACATTGGTTACAATTGGTTTGTTTACATTTTTGTTTACTTCATAACAAAAATAGTACTACTACTACTACTACTACTACTACTACTAATAATAATAATAATAATAATAATAATAATAATAATAATAAATTGTTGTTATTTTAAAATACAAAAACCTAACATGCAGACGTCAAATTAAAAGGAAAATAATTCAAGATATTAGAAATAATTACATTCTTAATACGTGCATAGAATTAGTTCCAGTTGACCTTTTTCGATAAAAGGCAACATTATATTTTCTTTAGTATTTATATACTATCTCTAAATGTTGTGTATTTTGCAATCAGTCTTTTAAGAATATTAAAAAGAAAATCGCAACCATAATAACAACAGGCTATATTGAATAGAGAAAATCAAAGGAAGGAATGTGTTTTGATAAGGATTTTTAATTGGAGTTTTTTCTCTTATTAATGTAGACTTTTAGCATTCAGTGAAATAAGCATACTTTCATGTACATCGTTTTCTTATTAAAAGCTTTGATATACATTATATATATATATAAGCATTTGGGAAGAATAGACTTTTCCAGATTGTTGGCATGAAAAACTGATATCAGCTGAGAATGCTTATATGTTAAGAATTGTAAAGTTCTGAAAATCCTTTTTTCTTTCGTGTTTATTACTTGTCTGCATTGTGTGTTCTAAGTTGAGAAAACAATCGACTTATAAAGTTTTCAAATGTTTTCGTGTTATTCTCAGACTAAATTTTATGGTTAAGATTTTTTTTACTTACATAACTTTTTCTTTGTTTTGAAAGACGAATGAATTTCACACTAATTTACTTTCACTCCAAAAATGTTTCTTTTATTTTCTCAACTTACAGTTGCTTCATTTCTATGCACCATTATTTACATATATTTAGTAAGAATACTTTATAATTCACATCAGTTTATGAAGAAATCTATACAGGATTTCCATGAAACATTTCAGCGTGCATTTTTTCCTCTCATACATTTCAAGTTATCACTTTTTATGCCACTTTCAATTATTAAAATCAAAAATGTTTGTTTGGAAATTGTTCAATTTAAAAGTAGTGAACATCACGGAATGACTTTAACTAACCAACCATAGAACACTGAACAGTTATTTTGTCCCTAGTATGAGTAACCGCCAGCAATGGCTATTTATAACTTCGTTAGAAATTAATCTCAGGACTTCAAAGTCTCATGAGTTTTACGCTCTCAGGTGCCTTTAAATCACTTAGATGATACACAATGGTTTATATTCGAAATTTCAGTTAGTCTTCTATCCAATGAACTGTTTTTTTATACATATATGATTGTCTAACGGAGTAATAAGTAGTGTAATTCACTCTACCCATACGCTGAAAGTTATGAATATATTTTTCTACAACATTCATCTGTCTCAAAAAGGTTAATAACCTATTTGAACAAGACTTTTGATTTTTGTCAATTTTTAACGAATGTATATGGAAACTATGGTAAACTTCTTCCATTCAAGTCAGTGATAACAGTAGTAATGTTTTTCACTCAACTGATGTCGATAATCATACCGAAATTATGATAAACGATAACACATGTTATTAGAGTTGTGTTTATTTTTCAGTGTAATTACTAGTAAGCTGAAAGAAACAGTAGACGAATATATCAATACTCAGGTTGTTTAAACACAAAAAAGAGACAATCATTAAACGTTACGTCATGATACTATGAAAAAGAAATTTTTGAAGTAAGCAGATTTTAGCTACATATTACGGCAAAAATAATTTATGATCAGAGTGCAAACCAGAAAAAAGCATTGATAATTCATTAAATTGTTCACTTGGATCCTTCACATAAAGACAGTAAGAGATTTAATCAGTGGCTGAGGGTCTTAACTTGATTTTGCTATGGTAGACATTAAGCTATCTGGCTTTATTATTATTATTACTATTATTATTATATGTTTACTTCTTTCGTTAGTTGAAGGATGACTTTGATAGCATTCTCTGATTCATATTTCCTCAATTAACTTTATTGTTACCTAACTGGACGTTATTACTCTTAGTTCGCTAACTGTTGCGCGTCCCAATGTCATTGGATTATGCGATATAGACAAAGTTGCTCTATTTCAGTTTTGGCTTTTTTTAGAAATATAAAGCTGTTCTTAATTCCTATCTTTTCTATATTCTATTGATACATGGATTATTAACTTTGCAGTGTTGTTGTGTGTTAGACTCCCGGTCTGTCGAGTTCTCATTAGTTTTCTCCGTATTAAAAGATTGTCATTTGTACATTATTAAAAAATTACAATAGGCTGCAGTCGTACACAAATTTCAAAAAATCAACAGATCTTCGATTGAGTCGTTGATGTATACTACTAAAGAGTCATATATTGTGGTCAAACAGCTGTTCAGTGTTTCCTGGTTTTAAATGGTTATGTAAATAAGATCAGTTTATAGTGTAGACTGTAAAATGCAACAATCTTTACTTTTCCGTATACTAATAACTAGTCAAACTTTCAGAGTAAGAGAGCTAAAAGGTATTTGTATCAGCCGATGATATGCTAGTAGTAGTGTGCAACTAAGACTACATACGCAAGAAAAAACATAATCTTGAGGTCTCATGAGAATTTCAGTACTTTCAAACCATTAAGTAGAAGTCTAGTAGTCGATATTTCCCAAGTTGAGTCAATCTTTCTGCTTAGTTTCAGTGAAATATGATAAATGTACCATGAGGAATATATATATAGCCTGATAAAGAGACGAAAAAGTTTAATTACCAATTACCTTCATGTAAAATACATGCTATATCTGTAACTTAGTCAAATTCTGTTGTTAAGCCTAGTTACAAGTGCAATTTACTAAATCTTACGTGATGTTTACAGGTCAGACAGTAGTTGAGAGATCATGAACAAGGCATGCTATTATAAAAAGCTAACTGTTCACCTGGTCGAGGTTTTATCTTGTTCTTGTCTGGGTCAGAAGGACAATCGTATAAATATTTACTTATGATTTGTATAAATTGTAATCCGATTAAATAATTAAACCTTCCTGCTTCAGATTTTTCATTTATTTGGTAGGTCTGATTAACCGTAAAATTATGTATAGTAACCGAATATAATTCAAGAATATAATAATAATAATAATAATAATAATAATAATAATAAGGGTATTTCACTGAGATTACGTATTGTTATATTAACGGGAGCATTATTGAGAGTTATTTCAAGTTGTTCATTTTCCAGATTCCCATAAAATGATCATGTGTTCACTAGTGACTAGGTTCATGATAGAATTCCTGGAGTTCTTGTGAGAAGCCGTGACCAGTAGAGTCCAATATGTGTCTGGTGGAGACAGTTATCCACATTAGACAACAAATGAAGGTTTGCGCAAGCTCGGTTGAAGTTAGACATTAAAATCGTTGGGTGACGGCTCAGTGGTCTAGAGGTTATGGGTTCACACGCAAGACCAAAGGACATTGGTTCGAGTTCCGTGTGCGTAAATGAACTTCTAACATTCAGAAGGAAACTTAATTTGCCTTCAATTTACAGTGAATGTATAACATGAAAACGACTTATTGTTTCAGAAGTGCTATATCAAGTTCTAAACTCCTAACAGCTGTAGAAAGTCACTGAAGTAAAATAATCGCTAATTTATGTAAGCAATCAACCTTCAATCAGCTATCTACTTAGAAAAAAACAAACAATCAGCTAGTGTTATTTCTAGCTCTCGATGAATGTGTGTGACTTACACATTTGCACTTAACCCTGTCCACAGTAAATGACTTTCATGTTTGGATTGTGTATTACAATTTTGATTAGCTTCGCAAATGCGAGAAAGTTTATGAGATTACTTATTTAATTAAATAATATTGAGCAGTATAGTGAGTTTCTAAAATTTTCGAATAATTATCATATTTGTTTTGAAGTTCATTCACAGTTAGGCAGTTTTCTGGCTTGACAAAGCCTCTGTGATAATTACGAATGAACAGTCTTTTAATCCGAAATTAATGCTGACGTGATAGAACATTCATTAGAAATTGTCAACACTATTTGGTCACTGATAAGTAACCAATGTCATGTTTGTCTATTCTTTTAATGCTTATCAAATTTTATCGATCATATCACGCTATACTTTATTTGACATGGTTAGCTTATTGATGACCTATCTATCTGGGACAATAATTAATGCCATTTTAAATAGTGAGAGTTATCCTTCTCAACATTGTACATACGTCATCCTGATAAGTGTCAAAACATACGTAGTCATTAGGCTTATGACATTGAAATTGCTGCCTATTATCTAACATTTATATTTTCTCTTATTGTTTCTTAAATGTTCTTTGTAGATCAAACAACTAATATTTGACGAACACTTCAAATCAAATTCTGCTATGGTTGCCTTGGATTTTTTGTACAGACATAAATTTATCGATAAAGACTCAGGTACGTATTATTTTCTCTCTTTTTACATCTATCCAATCCTAATTAATCTTAAACAGCGTAGAATCCGGTATAAATATGTATCAGCCTTAACATAACTATAATAAGATGAGAAGCAGATTAATAGAAATCTTAGTACCAATTTCAAGTGGAATACTGATATTTCAAAAAGGAATGAACAAGATCTGAGAGTGCAAAGTAAAGAATGATCACAAAGAATAAATATCACTATGACCATTTTAAGCTATCTCATCTAGTGTCTTTAACGATAAATTATATCTACTTTCTTCCCACAATATAGAGTTTTGAATATTGAAGCTTCTGGCAGACAATTTGAAAGGTAGATTGAGAGATTAAACAGGATATTTCTCATGTTGAAATTTATAACATTAGTTACATATAATAAAAAGCACGCGATAAAAATAGCAGGGAATTTGAAAAAAGAGATAAAACCGCAAGCATTATATGCAGAGATGATGGTAGCTAGCAGTGGAATCCAGGGCACGCGTTTCGCCCAGTCTCTGACTCTTCAGCTGGTCGTACTTGCATCTCAGAGTTGATGTTTACTCCGGGACTCGAACCCATTACCGTTTGTCTCAAACGCTGTCGCGTTATCCACTTAGCTACTGAGTCCTGATAGCCACTAGCTTGTACAATGGAGTGAAGCCCACTTCATTTTTGTATTGATTGTTTAAATCATCTTACTGAATTTCAAGGCTGAAATTGACCAGTCTCTTATAATCCTTGTAACTTAAGGCAATATCGAGGTAGTCTTCACAGGATGGGCATATATCAATAAGAGGCTGATCAATTCTAGTCCTGAACATCAATGGGAGGATTCAAATGACCGATATAAAAATGAACTAATAGATAAAACTGTTAAAAAATTCATAATATTACTGTAAATGATGATATATACAGTTGTTCGATTGTTGATTAGAAAAAGGTCAAAATTCATTGGGTCTATATTTCATTGTTTTTCTTGTTGTCATTACATGTTACATTAGTAGATCACATTTTGAATTCTATAAACATAGAGAGCGACTGTCATTTAAACATATTTTAGAAATTTGAACAACTCATCTTCATCTAAACACAAATAAGATATACAATTTACTATGTATGTATATTTGTAACTGAAATCAAATTGAAGCTTTTGTACTGTTTTGATTCAGTAAATAAAAAAACTATATCACTCTGGTGTATTAAGTTTCTTATAGTTCTATTATCAAATACTTCTATAAGCCTATTTGATATAAGAAACTTAGTATTTTTTGCCAATAAAATTGAAATTTGTCAAATTTAAGATGTGGCTCTAGGATTCTCTTACACCAAACCTGTTCATAATTTCACATGATATTTGTGCAACGTTGAGATTAGTTGTAGTTCATTTATGCTCTCCATACCCTGCCTTATTTATCATCAATGTTTGTCAGAAATAAGACTCAATAACTCATGTTCATTCGCTTCGTATGACTAATAATTATCAAACTTGGGTTTTTAAGTTAAAGACATAACTCCTCATGGATTTGATCAGTAGGACTTACGGGCTTCGAGTTTGGTGGAATAACTAAGTGAGGGAATTTAGATTTTTAAAATCAGTTTATTGAGTTGTGAATCTCTATGTAAGTGTAGGTAAGTGAAGCATATATTATTAAGTCAGTCAATCGTGGACAGATTAGAACGTTGAACGAATGAGTATCAAAAGTTGTTACTCCACTCAGATGTCAGTATACGAAGATGTAAATAACGAAATGGTAAGGATATATTTAAAGTACACTATGCATCTTGGTTTTTTGATTTCTATTTGAAACAGTTACGAGGACTATCGCTTTCTTTGTTTGACTCGTAAAAACGGATGTCAGTACGAGTTGTTACATTTTTAAATCAAAAACCTATTATGAACATTGTTAAATCCTTGGAAAAAGCTTAAGTTCGATGTTGTAACCTATAAGTGAAATGACTAATAACACTTTTCAGTAGTTTTAGTATTCTTTAGTTTTCAGTTTATCTGTTTACTGTATAATATAAGAAACATATGTCGGTTGTTTTTTCATCATATAATGGTTCTAATTAAATAGTTTTTATTCGATAAGAATACATGACATTTTGTTAAACATTTTATCACCGTTGGCTTCTATCTATCAATAAAGGCAACAAAACAACAATTTGAAACACGGTTATTTTATCCTCGAATTAACAGTTTAGTAGATCTTTACAGTTTGTATGGGGGTATATGTATTATTAAGTAGTATTGATTAAGTACTTGGAGAAAAAATAGTACTCATTTTAAGCACCGATAAGTAATCACAATAGTATATACGTGTTGTTTTTTTAAAAAAAATTCAATATGAGGGTCTCTATTGTGTAAGTCGAAAAAACAAAACAAAACGAAATACTTTATACAAAAAAACCTAATTCTCCTCTAGTTTATTTTATCTGGTTAGTAATTTTAACAATGAAATTGAAGTGAATTAGTAGGTTAATAATCAAATTACATTATTTTACACTTTACAGTATTATATTTTACATATTTATTTAAAATAATCAAGTTTTGTATATTTTACTCTAAGGGCTATATTTATAAAGCTAATGGGTAATGAAGCATAAATTAAAGTTTCATCTACATCTATATACTCTATGACAGTTGAACCAATAAAATCTTCATGTGATCTTGTAATTATACATAAAAATGATCATTTATTTCATGATATATATTACAATTACTTGATCATACTACTGTTAATAATTTTTTTTCCGAACTAAATCAAACAACAAGGAGATTAGAGCGTGAAAGGAGGGAGGATTGATCAGTAGTATGCTATATTTCCTAGGACAATATGAACTTAACTAAATTACATTATATAATTTAGATAATTAGAACGTATTAATACTGTTAATTATTGTAATTACTTGTGTAAAAGGCTGCATATAACTATTTATTTGAAATGTTAGTGAACTTTATATTATCGAATCAACAGGAAATACTTTGTTATATCATTGATACTAAAAATAATAATTTTAAGATAGTAAAGGTGCTTTTTTTTTAATCAAACAGTATTTAAGTAGTATCAATTTATCACGCAAAAATTTAAAATTTTAATACTAAGAGATCAACGTTATACTTACAAGGTTTCAGTGTAGAATGCTTTGTATCCAACTATACTTATGCAAATAATTCTTTGAATTCATATCTCTCAAGAGGTTTATAAGTCAGTCACCTTGAAAAATTCATAATTTATGTTAAAAATCTTAAATACATTTCACAGTCCTATCTATTTTCCACAATATTGATTAGTAAAAATAATCACTTTCTCATCGTTATTTTAAGAGTTGATCAAGTTCAACATTTTTTTTTATAGTTTTGTCTTGTTTATTAATGTTAGGCGTTTAATGAACTAAATATTATTATGTTTTACTTATTTCCTACTTAGCTACCAATCATTATGTTTTTAATTTTGCATAAAATTCAATACTCCTCATTTCCAATTAAATTACTTTGTCAATTAGATATACTTATACCTTTATTGTTAGTAATATTGTAATGACATCTTGTTGTTTTTCCTGAGCAATTCTATACTCTGTTCTTATTCTCTTGAGCTTTTTACTTCAATATTTCAATCAATACGATAATTGATCTAGATCATCATTTCCTTTTTTTTTTAAGTGAGGCTAGAATTCATGGACGACCTTTCAGCAACGCTAAAATGACCTTGGAATGTCCACCTACTTACTAGTGTTAAATGAGGGTTATATATTAGTGTGAAGAATTAGAATTAAGATTTACAGTTGAACATTAGGCTTAGCAATTAAATTTAATGTTTTTTTTAAATCACGAACTGATAACAGCTATAGTGCTAAAATAGTATTTAACCAAATGAGTGAATGAAATTCAAAATCTGCTATCTTAAATCTGGTTGGTTCATCTATAAATTAGTCTCTCCATGTACACTACCAATAGTTTAGTTATATACTTTGTTAAGTGAACTCCTATCCAAAAGTAGCTAATTTAATCTCAACGAATAATAACAACCTAATACAGAATTCTTTCTTTAGAGGCAAATTATTCCACAATTAATTGTATATGAAATCAAAATGACGGTCAACCTCACATTTTTTTAATATAAACATTAATTTATAAACAATACAGTTAAGTAGAGTGTGTAAATACATTGTCTTGATTATGTAATCAACTTGTTGTACAATAATTAATTGAATGTCGTCTACAATTAAACATTGATTTTATCGTTTACTTTCATTATTAACATTATTTCTGCTACAATTTATTCATGCTTTATAAATATTATAGTTTTGCAATCTTTTCACTTTCTTAACGTTATATTGTCATTGGATTACTAAGGTGAACAGTTTCTTTTTCTCCATATAGTTATTATCTCATAACTGTACATTGTGATTATGATTTATAGCTTCTGATGTCCTAGTTATTCATTTCTAAAATACGGGAAAGCTTTTTTGTTACATGTGCTATTTTACCAACTAATTTGACCATGTCAAATGAAACGAACAGTTTTACATTGAGTTTATGGGGGGGAGTCCAGTTGCAATATGAATTTTTGGCTTCAAATGTCTGTTTAATACACACAACAAAATTCAAACTGTATTTTTGGTTATAATATGCATAGTCGTTTATGGATTTAATGTTAAAGTATTTCAATAGGAAGAATGTGTTATGGATATATCAAGGATTCAAATCTTTTGCTTGATAATGAATTGTATGTAGATGGTTTGCAGTTTGCGCTGTAAAGGCTTTATCATGAAATAATTATATTATCCATCCAGACAATATCAGAAACATTATGAACTACGGATAATAAAGTATGAATGCATTTGTTCTACTGTAACCGACTTTAATCCAACTTACTTCAGGTGTTTGACCATTTACCAGTAATAAAGCGGTCACTACTGCCATGAAGTATGGAGTTCACAGTACGACGCATCAGTATTTAGTGATTTCCTAGGCTGATGTCACGTATTGGTTTTGCCACCGCGATCTTTCAAGTTACTCATACTTCGACGAACATTGATAGCCAGTATTCTGCTATACGTAAAGTATTCCAACAGCCACATTCGATAAAAATTCATATCCCCGTCAACAGTCTACTATTATTGGCTTTTACTATACACTATCCTCAGCACTATGCACTGGTAAGACTTTAAAGATATCTGTGATCAAATACTGGTTATCTACAAATATCCTCTTCCATCAAAAACAGTGTTGCACAACCTTAGAGGGATTCTGCGTTAACTTTCTTTCTGGTTACACGCCTTTCAATAGGCAGAAATATATCGTACATGCTTTACGAGTGTTGCGGTTTTTCTATGACAAAAGTTCCTAATTTCATCAACCACTATGATGAGGTTTCTAACACAAAGTCGGTCCAATGATTTACTGAAATGTACTTCGATTCCCTAAACTTTTATTTTAGATTAATGACACTCATCACTTGTTTTTATAATAGATCATATCAAATTATCTTATCTTTGACATTTCTATCTTTGAGTTGAGCTCTAGAATTTTCTATATTAATGAGATTTCTACGTTTTATTGGATGAAGAAATTTATATGCTCTTACGGGAGCGTTATTATATTTCAGTTATGTGCTCCAAACGAGCATGTTTTTTCATCATGCTAGCGTGGTATGTTTGTGGTCGTCATTCTGTTTGTGTTTTCATTTCAGAGAACGTCTCTTTCTGTACTTTAAGTTTATCCTCTTCAACAGTTATCTGACAATAAATGTAGCAGATGGTTACTGTTTTGGAATTCTCTGAGTTGGAGCCTCTAATGAGCGATCTATTCGTTTTTCAACTTGACTAGGCCTACCTATTTATACGCCAAAATCTCTCGCCATAATTACTTAACCAGCGTCCCTTACCTTTTAATTAGTGTTAGAAAGCTTTCTATAGAACTTTCTCTTGTCTTTAATCAGTGAAAATTATGCATGTTCTTAGGATTTTAAGTACACAATCGAGGGTTCCGATTTTGCTTTTTAATCTAATGCTACGCTTATACATGTGAGGCGACGACAAATCATTAAAGAATCTCCAGATACACCAAGAAGGAATCTGCGTGATCTAGATGAGATAATACAAGTCATAAACCTTGGGTTCTGTGTACTGAATCTCGACACAGTACAAATCAACAACATAAAATTTTAATCTTAGCCACTGATACCTGGTTCGACAAAGGGTTCGGACATTTAAAACTTCATCATATGGTTCGGAACACATCTTTAGGCTACCGATATATTTTTTGAGATTGAACTGTTAGCACCAGTAGCCCACGCAAAAATGAAGGAGTCAGCAAAAACCTATTGATAATAGGAATGGAAAAAATGTAAAGAACTAATGAAAGGTTTTTACTATAACTAAGAGTAAATCGAGAATTGTTAGGTGTGTTTAAGCGAACCAAACGTTTTGTGAAAGTATAATTTTCGTTTATGGACCTGGAAATGAACTAGGCTGGTTATTAGTGAATGGTCAATCCAGGAACGTGACCGCTTAGCTGAGGAAATATCTGGCCGTATTTGGTGGTATACTACCATTTAGTAGTTCGGTTTTCATATATAGGCTCCATACTTTGCAGGCCTCATCAGGCACTAGAAAACTGGATTAGGATAAGATATACTCCCAGGATTGACCTTTTCCAACACCACGTTGTGGGCAGGAAACATCTCCGTAAATGATTATCTCTAGCAAACACCTTGTTGCTTTCAAATCCTCCTGCGTAACCTCAAGGAACAAGCGCTTCAGCCATTATAGTTAGGTCGTGTTGTCCCAATAGTTAAGCTCAATCACTGTAATAACCATCATTGGAATCAGTAAAACAAGTGTCTTTCATTTTCCTTCTTGGAGACATCCTAGTGAATATTTGAGTTCCCATTTTCTCTGTAACCCCTAAATTCATTGATTCAAACTGCTTAGTATTATTCCTTGAATGAAATCATCAATGAAAACTAATTTCTCAACAATTTATCCTTCTATTATTTTAAACAGACACAAGTGTAATAACATTGTCTCTGTAATAGCAACCATAAATCATGATTGCAATAAATTTTTCTCTTGCTTCTCAATAAAATATGAATACATATAATATCCTACTACTAACGTGTATCAATATTAAAAAGGTAGAAATTTAACCTAGTTAGGATAAAAACCTTGTTACTTTCAATTTTTTATAATGGAAGTAAGAAAATAATTAACATACAATGTCGATAACTATCAGCTCGTCATAGTAACCGCTTGGTGCTTAACTGAATCTTGGCACAGGTCCAGAAAGTTGAATTAGCTATTGCCAACTTTCATCAACTGTAGCATAGGTGAGATCCCCGTCTATCAACTAAAAAGCGTCTTACAACGCAACAGTCTCCTTTCTACTTGATGGGTACGAAACATGGCCATTAAAAATAGATGATAGTCGTGCGTTATTAGTATTGAGTCATAGATGTCTTTGAAGTGTCATCTGTGTTCCAGGACAACTGAGCAAGCAATTCCAGATTTAAGGATATAGTACTAGGTAAATATGGCCAATTGATTAACAAGGCAGCAAAACTTCACCAACTGATGTTGTTGAGACATGTGTTAGGTAGGTAGGGGTAGGTTGAAAGAAAACTAGAGGAGGCATTATAAGGATGCAACATCAGTTCATGGAGTCATAGACAAGTGGATTAAGCAATGTTTACACGTATAGACTATCTGGTCGGGTTGTACGTGAGTATCATAACCAGTGGTTGGAGACGTGGAATGACATGGCTGAAAATCGGTTGTAATGGCACAGGTGGATCCATTCTTTGTCTTCCTCCAGATCCTAAACTTATGAATTCCTCATAGTTTTGTGTATTTCACTAATTTATATTTTCTTGGATCGTATCTTTAATGTGTAATCTTTTTTACTACCATTAATACTGTTCTATAAATAGCCCTAATAATTTCATATCGCTGTGCTGATGATGTATGAAAATGTAAACCAATGTACATGTGTACGAGGTTCTACGTTTTGTTTGACTGACTGCATAAGGAAGTAGGTTGGGTAGAAATTTCACCCCGGACACGTTGACCGAGCGCTAAGTGGTCAAACCAATAACCTACTGCTCAACTGAGTTACTACTTGTTATCAGTAATAATGTAAACTTCGTGAATTTTGACAGTGCTTAAATGTGCCGGGTAATTATAAATACGATTTATATCATTCTATATGTTGTATATTTCATAGTTTTTTTGTAAATAATTTGATACTGCTGACTTACTACAATCCAAATGATATATAACCATGAAGATCGTCAATATTTCTCGGAAACTGATATATGGCATAAGTATCATTCCCGACTCAGCTATTTAGTTTCGGGACAGTAAAAGGTCATCAGACATTATGTACATACAATTTAGCTAGTTTTACGTAGCCTTTTTAAACACTAGGAATGTCAGAAAATAAGTAGTTTTGAAATGTAGGATTTGACCTTTATAAAAGCTGGTGGTTTGTGTTGATGAGATGAATAGCGAACCTAACTTGAGTCCTGTCTCCCACATTTTCTGCGCTACCAACCTATAAACAAGTGATTTATTATAGTTAGTATGTTAAGGTAGTTCTGCTGTTAGTTTATTCCCTTTTAAAAGGATTTGTAATGAGAATGGAAGAAAAACTCGAATGTATGCACTAGTCCATAACTTTGAGCTAGATTAGCTAACTTATTGTAAACACCATACAGATACTACTCGACAGCACTAATCACAACTATGTGCACCAATCGATTCAAATGATTGTTATATTATGTTGTAATCAGTTGTCGTAATGTTTTTGTTAAACATGCTCTTTTATCTCACTACAGATCCAAGGCATGCAGAAGTACAATCCTTGATGCATGTTAACTTACCATTTGATTAATTGCATTTGTGAATACGGTTTCTATCTATCAACGTCATTGTTTCAAAATCAAAAATCCTCCAACTTCTATACATTCGATTATTTTCCAGTAGAAATTAATTATTTCTAACTTAGTTATTTTCTTTGTATTATAAGTGGTCTTCATCGTTGGCTAACGGTCAAGACTTTATTCTAGTTTCAAATCATAAGCAGAGTTTTTTTATTATACAAATATACACCTTTCAAACAGCTATCTTTCTCATTTAATTTTCCTAAATCAGTCTATTTCTTTGCATAAATAATGCCTATTTATTAGTTGGTGTTCCTTCTTTCTTATTTTTTGGGGGAAACGAATATTTGTGCTTATGGTTAAATGTTTTCCTTTTGGCTTATTATTTACAATAATTGATTTACAGAAATTACTTGTCTTTTATTCGTTGTCTATGGTACGTATGCAATATGAAGTGAATAAGTTATTGCACCACAAGTTTTCGCAAAAACTCAAAACCTATTAAGTTTTTTGGCAAATCTACAGCAATTTCCTGTGGTTGTAATACTGGGAACATGTCCTTCTACCTTTAGTGTTAACAATACATATTGACAGGTTTTTCGTCACTTAGGTTTATGTCATTTGGCAAGATTCAGACAATATCTCGTTCCCGTGAATCGTAATGTGCACAATAATTTTTAACATGATATGTATGTCGTGTACCTCAACATACATGGATACTATGTCATCTAAAACCAAAAGATTTGGATGAATTTAGATGTTTACCTCGAAGAGACCTATATCTACACAATAAGGCCCTTACAAATATTGATAATACAAATCATTTATCTGCAAAGATCTGATATTTCACAGCGTATATGGTAGTTCATCGTGTTGACGTAACTAAGGCGGGTAAATTTATCCGATTTACTTGAAGTTCAATATCTAAATATACAAAATTCTACTCATTTCCTTTGTTATGCACACCCTCCTTACTCTATATCTTTACAATCTTGTTTTCTCTTCGCGTACATCTATTTTCGTATTCATTTATATGCGTTCCGATAGATGAGGTAACTCTATGACAATATTCAACCTAATCTGGTTTGGGTAACCGGGTAGTATCACTAGGCCTTACGTTTAATGTGGCTCGCACTCAAGTGGTTGATGAATGAGTTGATTGATACCGCACTATAATAATAATCAATGTGAACTATCGGCCCACCTATCCGTATCCAAAATAAAAGCTCATTAACAGACAACTTATGAAAAATAATATCAACAGTATAGACTTTCATTCAGTATTTCTTGATAAATTTTAATCCCGACGAAACTGTCCTTATTTGGCCACTTGATATTACAAGGCTTATGCTTATTTCGATATCATTTAAATTACACAACATGCCAACCTATGTGGGTAAGACAATTTTATTCTAGTGGTTTTGGAGTTTATTTATTTAAACACAAAAATTAGTACAGCGAGGCGCCAAACATATATGCACCACACAAATAGATGATTTGTGTGAGGGCTGGAATACTGTCCAAACCGAAGCAGGTGGTCTGGGGGAGTTAATCGAAATGGCATGTGATCATATTAACTTAATAACTACTCATATCAAAGCGCACTATACTCCGGAATCGCCTAACAAATGCTGGGTCCATAAACTAGTAATTGTTTTTTTATCATGCTCCAAATGGGTTATTTAAGTGACTGATTTCGCTAATGATCCGTATTTGGTTCGGAACGACCGTTTTTCTTGTTAACTCCTTTGTCGGATAGCGTAGTAGACTGGAAAGCCGTGAAACTAAGAAAGTAGTTCGTGCAGTCACTGTTGGACTAAAACTCATTGTGAAATATAAACTTTCTAAACAAAGCTTGCGTAAGCAACGATGTGCTTTCTGCCACAATTTATATGATTGTCCTATTCAGTTTGCATCTCATTAATTTTTCTCGGCCATGAGGTGAGCTGTTGGAACTTGAAACGATGATTATTGGTGCCACGTTTCACTGTCAACGAACGAATGTCTCATGGTGCCGGGACTAGAGAATATTAACTAGGAAGCTCGGAAACCGATAGTACCTACAACAAGATACCAATACGACAAAAGTCTAACATACTGTCAGTCTTGACGGAAGTACTTCTCCTCACTCAGTCGAATGTAGCCTAGAACCTGTAGCATATATGCATCGATCCAAGTTGGCAGACTATATAGTAGATGACTGGTAATAATAATAATAATATACATTTGGACGTGAAAGGAAAACGGCCATTTTATATAGATCTTGGCACATCTTTTACAATCCACTAGCCGACTAAAGTTCAACTGAGAAGCAAGTATTACTAAAGTACCAAACACAAGTTCGCTGGAATTGGAGATTACCAAACATATCGTTTCTAGCTATCCTTGAATGTATAGCCACATTGTTGGCGAATGAGCTGGCTAACTTTTAATCAAGATTTATAATAACTGTTAGTCCACCAGGCCTCTATAAACAGGCAACCATTCTAGAAAGTTAGGCATGAGAAATAGCAATTACGTGCACGAGCCAAACTCTAGAATAAAAGGGTATCCAATTCACCTCGTCTTATAAGTAGTCAGTACACAAGCATGTTTCACAAGCTATTTGACTTAATGGTCGTGTTTGTACTTATTTCCATTATCATAAATATACAGACTTCTTAACACGCTATGTTACAATTGTGATCCCACGAGTTACGGTGATAATGTAGTTTGATGTATTCTAAGTGCAGCTGACGAGACGACCCTACATTCGTGGAATTTTTTAATCAATCAAACCTTGTTAAGACAAAAATTACTAGGCAAATATGGCTACGTACGGAGTAGGATTGGTCGATCGTAACATTTGACTAACATGGATGAAATAACTACTGAGTATCCTGTCTCATTTCAATTTGACGTCTGAAAGGACAAAGTTGTACCACTCAAAATGTCATGGATAAAAGTTCACTAACTTGGTGAAAAGAGGAAACTAATTAAAAGCTTAAGCAGCTAATGATAATACTGGTATAACTCGTACATCTAAAGAAATCTGTTATTTGAATTTCCAGCTTAGTAAGCATTCAAATATATTCGCAAACAGTCTCAAATATAACTACACACTGGCGCCACGAAGATTCATAAGTTAGCCTCACTGTAACTGAATGAGCATTATTGTGCTATGACAACACATTATATACCAGACAATTAGGTAACAGTATGCACGAACTAAGTTTATATTGGTGATTCGAGGGTAGGTGCAATCGACATTAATTTTGCATCAAATGACATATGAGAAGCAAACAGTGAGAAGACATGCGGAATGATGTAGATATATGGATATTTTGATGCATATACAAATTCAGTTACTCGATAAACTAATGGAGATATCAAAACCTGCCGGTAGTTCTTCCAGTACCACGAACAGTCGCAACACGTCCACGAACAAAAGTGCCACGCCCGCGAACTTAACGGTGAGTTACTTTTGAACTTTAGAAACTTACCACCAGCCCTTAACATGGCATTCTTCCCTCTTCCCGTTCCTAAACCCTTAGCACCCTGTGGACGTTTCAACATCGGTGAGTTTTTCAGCATATCAGGAAGGATAAGGAATCTGAAGAAACAATAAGTTTTTACGAAGACATACCGAATTTTACTGCCTCGAATATATACCTGTTGAAGGTTTGATGTACGACCGTCACGGGAAGTCATTATTAGATCACACATGTGAACATTCATATTATCTTCCGCCTCAACAAGTTTTCCACGGAAAACTTCACCACTAACAGTTTCTAGAGTAACGACATGTCCCTCGGCATCGTGTAAAACTTTGATAGGTATCCCAACTGACATTGCTTCCACGAAGTTTCAAAAACCGCGCCAATTACCTTGATGTAAATACGAATTTTATTGGAACTATTTGTTTTGTGTAGGAGATGGGATAATCTTTCATTTGCGAACCTGCAACTATAAGATTAGTGTTTCAATGTTACTTTTACGCAGATATTAGTAACTAACCCTTACGTTCATTACATCGTTTACCAGAAAGCTGTGAAATACATTGCAATTAGTTGAATTTCTGGTATTACTAACTTTGCAAAGCCCACACTCTTCCAACAGATAAACTGTGTCCTCGAATGTGCAGCTTGTGACCCGTCCGGCTTGACAATCAAGCAAATTATGGTTTGATTTAGATTTAGATTTGCGTAGTAAGGATAAAAGGCCTACGGTCTATGTTATTCCCTTTCTAGTATGTTTCTGTGAGTGTCCAGTCTTCTCTTGAATGAGTCAGTTGAAGGTGTGGACACCCCTACTCTGTATAACAGGCTCCAAGTATTACTGACTCTGTATGAAGCCCTGTATGTCATAGGTATTTTGTTAGTTCTTGGCTTTTCTACTCGCCTACTATGTCCTCTGATATGTCTCGGTCTAGTGAGAAGAATAAGAGAGAATATGTCAGGCTCACAATCATTTCGTGGTATTTTATACATCAAAATTAGATATCGCCTCAGTCTGTGATAGGACAGAGTAAAGAGATCAAACTTTTCAAGCCGCTCCTTCCATGGTAAACCCCGGAGTTCTGGAATTGCACGGGTACTGCCCTCTGTATTTTTTCCAGGATATTGGTTTAACTTGCGGGAACTTTGTGTCAAAACATCTTATTCATCTTTGAGGATGATATTACTCCAGAGACACTGTCTATCCACAAATGTTTTCTTAACTAGAGCCCCCTGAAACGATTGAAGACTGGTCAAATAGTGACCGAATGGCATTAATCTAATTAATGATAAAAGGGTATGAACTTGGAGTCTGTCATCACGACTTCCATAGATTTCTAAACAACTGATCATAATTTGAAGTTCAGTCGTACGCCTATAGACAAGAAATAATAATAGTAATGAAAACGTAATTGGCCCCATTTGCAAGGGAAAGTTGCAGGAAATTCAACAGATTCTCAAGTTTCATGTAATAAATTACTTCAGTAATTAAAAGCAGATTATCATTCAGCGGTAAATAAGTCACCAAAATAAATAACTCTATAAGTCTTTGACACTGATGCTGACTTCATTAGTTTTACTAGACATATCCAGCTGAAGGCACCTGATCATGCACCCGCACCAGATCACGAGTGGGTATGACGTGCTGCGCAACCCTTTCAACTGTTAGGAAGCTTAGGCTAAACGCTCCCCGAACATTGATAGTTTTCCAAATATATCGTCAAACCATTTCATTTCTGACTTCTGATTTGACTGGTTTGGCATAATTCGATTATAAAGCCACTACGTGTAAGGCCGCTATGAAAATCCGAATACCTGTGGCGTCTTTTGCCTCTTACCTAAAGTAAATATATACACTGAATTTCGGTGAGGAATATATTATTTGATTGCGGGGCATAACGAATAGGAAATTGGTATTGGAAATATTGATGGCATATAAGCGGTTTCAAAAATTAAAGAAGCCGTTAGAGACCCTAAATTATCCATAGTTTTAATCATTTATTTTTATTGAGATGTTCATAAAGGCCAACTGAATTAAATCCATTCATGGCTAGGATGGATCGTTACTAACAGCAGATAATTAACGCAAGAAAACGATTCCCAAATGCGTGACGATAAAAATGAGTGCTTGATTTCACATCAACAGGGTATAAAGTAATATTGTATATAGTTCATTGGATAAAACCTCGAGTAACGATAAATGTCCTCATCTAATTGTAGCATATAATAAGATGCTAATGTTGCGAAACGACCTGATATGTGTATAAGTAAGACCCAAGTGTCAGATCCCAAGCTAAGGTATCGGTAGAGGCTAATAAATTCCACAAAATAAGTAGTTGTGTAGTGAACAAAATGTTACGTGTGGAAAACCAAGTTGTTGTTGAATCCGAAACTACAAAATGTTTCTGTAACACACGATAACTATACATTCAATGCATTATTTGCACGTCCTACTTAAATTGTCCTTTACATGCTTCATGATTTTTCTAATTCTGTCGTTATCGCGATTTTTATATGTTAACATTCCTTCCTTCTTCAAATGAATGTTCTCAATCTTCTGCTAGGATACTTTCCACTTCCGATTAGCGTTCGATATGTAGCACATACCACCGTCAAAATTGTCTTAAGGAGTCTGACTTCACGAGGTGATTATTTATTGGCTCTCGCTTTTAGTACACTGGTCAGTGGCATGTGCTCCGTAAAAACTATAGAGTCCCTGCCTTCCGACATGTGTCGGAAATGCTTTTTTGAGAAAAAAGCAACTGGTTTCCAGGCGATATGAACAGATGTTTAAAGGTACCGTCTACTGCCTTATCCAAAGCATCCACCATCAAAGCAAATAGGGATAAAGAATTCGGATACATCAGCGTAGATGCCTGGGGCCGATTATCTCTTGGCTGTTTACTAGCCTCAGCAGCCTCATAAGCGAACATGAATTCTTTTACTTTCCCTTTAAGGAATTCTGTCAAAGGTCGCACCAGTTGTGCACAACCGGGCACGAATCTTCAATCAAACTTAAAAAGACCCAGAGAACTTCCAAGTTGCTTCAGAGAACTAGGTTTTGAGTATTGTTTAATGCTGTCCGCTTCTTCTTTGGTCGGTGTAACTCCTGTAAGCTTTTTGCGTGCCCGAGAAATTCTAGGGTTCGAACACCTAAAACACTGATATATGTTTATTCTATTTTCATCCAGACGCTTTAATATCGTTCTCACATGCTGTTCGTGTGACCGTAAATCGGGACTCGCAATCTACAAATATTTGAAAAATTCCCATATCGTAATTAAGAACAACATATATAAGTGAACAATATTGTTTTCGATTAGATCCTCATCCGGCTTCACTCTAATATACAGTAATATTTATATGCATATACGAGATTATTGAACCAATCAATGCAGTTTATGAGACAGTGATAACAGTGGAATGAATTACACAAATAAGTGAAAAGTACAAATTGGTAGTGTGGTGATAGGTGTACTAGTCGTGATGAGAATAATAATGGCTCGAATCAATGTTACATTTTGGGAAATAGGTCAACGGTTAGAAGAAATATAGAAAATGAAAAAAACATTCGTAAAAATTATAAGGTTATGTAACAAGAATTGTTCTGGCAATCGGAACGTGAAACATATTTCAAGGAAACTAAAATATCGTGGTCGGAGGGGGTGAAGAAAAATGATAATAAACGAACAGAGAGTATGGAAAATGATAATAAAAAATCATTTATTAAGATCAAGGAAGAGATAGAGGTGTTGTAACGGAAAAAGAACAGTGAAAATCCCTCTGCAGCTTCTTTGTTGAACAGTATTTTCATTTATTTGTTCCTTCTCTCTTTTGTGTATTCCAACCTTTGTTTCGACCTCGTTTAACCATGTCTTTTGTTCTTCAGTCTTCCCCGTTTGAGCCTTTATTATGTGATTTTGATTAAAGACTTATTTTTGTTACCTAATTTTCTATTGCATGTTGCCGGACCATTGACAGTAAGGTTGTGTTTGACTAAGCCCAAGGTCACGGCGTGGTTCATTTTGTGACTGTTAACCCTCTGACTGTCTGCTTGGGAGAATTGCTGCAATCCCTGCAGATAGATATTTGATCCCATCTTATTGGGAATATTTGTATTGATTCTCAGGTATCAAACCCTTTAGTATTAACTGTCTCTTTCATTGTTTAGCGCGCTACTTTGCGTTAGAGAAACTTCTGACTGTATAGCACAGGCTGTACCGTTTGAGGTATTTTGTATTTTTGATGTAATTTGTTCTGTTTTCTTAATTAGAACCGTTTATATTGAGCACAGAGTTTGTGTTTTGATATAATATAATACGAGTATCTCAAAGACGCGTTGTGAGCTATACAGAGGAACTTGGTCTGGTCTAATCGAATAAATTTTGGGTTCGTCAGTCCGTTGTTCCAACCGAATATTGGCTGTTCGGTCGTTACAGTTCTCAAACGAACAGTAATCTCAAGTGACAAACTCTGGAATGCCTGGAAAGCGCAATAAGGTCAACGAAAACTTGGCATTGGGCCACGGAGAAATGCAATCGGATACACCTCCAGATGTACGGCAAGTCAAATTAGATGCATTTTCATGTCATGGCTCTAATGTTAGTTTATTAAGTAAACGTAGTAAAGTTAGCTCTAGGATTACCTTAGCAGAGTTAAAAGAAAGGCAATTATTAGAAATGAGGGACTTGAAAGATAGACAGAGGAAACAACTACTGTGCTTTCAGAGAGAGTTTGGGTCGTTAAGGCTGAACAAAAGCACGTGTAGCAAATTATCTTCTGTTTCTAACTGTGATGACAGAGAAAAGGAGCACGTTCACAGGTTCGTAAGTCCTTCTCATGACCTTAGGATAAAGTCTCTAGAAAAGTCAAAACTGTTAGATTATCCAGGAACGAAGGAGAAAGTGACCTTGGAATCTCTAAGTGTAGGTCATGAACTTCCAACAGTAGAGCACGATGCCTACTTCGATGAAAGTTACAATATTGTTCCTTTACCTAGAGGAGTGGCTGAGGAAGACATTGCTACCCCTGTTATTGGCAATGAGTCTGGTATGTGTAAAGCTGGCTTCACCAAAAATGATGCTCCCATAGCCGTATTGCTCTCTATTGTTGGAAGAACTAGACATCAAGTGACTGTGGAAATGGATGGAAAGGACAGTCATGTGGGAGACGATGCTCGACCGAAACGTGTTATCCTGACACTGAAGTACCGAATTGAACATGGTATTGCAACTAAGTGGGGTGATATGGAGAAGATGTGGTACCACACATTCTACAAAGGGTTGCGAGTGGCAACAGAGAAACATCCGGGGTTGTTGAGAGCAGTTTCATTGAACCCGAAGGCAAACCATGAGATGACAAGGATCATGTTTGAGACTTTTAATACACCAGGTACGTGTGCTGCTACTCAAACGGTGTTGTCACTATGTACACTATGTACAACTGGTATAGTGTTGAACTTAGGTGACGGTGTGACCCACACAGTTCCGATTTATGAAGATTATGCGTTGCCTTATACTGTTTTGCGATTGGACTTTGCTGGTAGAGTTCTTGCCGACTTTAGGATGAAGATCCTGACTAAGACAGGTTGCAGTTCCTCTGTCTATTCGTGGAACATACTCAGGCGCAAACCACCGGACATCGTTTTACTCTATAGTAAGTCTAGAGTGGCATCTATAAAACAGGCAACTGTGCCTAGACTGGAACTAACAGCGGCAGTATTGAGTGCTAGAATGGGGGAAGTTTTAAATAAGAACCTTCCTCATGTGTTTGACAAGACTCACTTCTCGATGGATTCTATGATAGCACTGTACTATATAAAAAATACAGATAGTAGGTATTCCACCTTCGTGGCTAATCGTCTGGCCGTTATTCGTCATTTAACATCTGTGGACCAGTGGGGGCACGTAGAATCCCATAAAAATCCTGCTGACTGGACATCACGAGGCATACGGAAGGAGCTAGATTTAAAGAACTGGATTGAGGGTCCTTCCTTCTTATGGAAGAAAGAGTCTGTAGGAACACTGACGCTTATGTGCGAAAACCCCCCGGAAAATGTTGAATTTAAAAGATGCCACACGACCAACGCAGTTGCGCTAAAACACAGCTCAAGTCCAATTCTGCTATATCACTCACATTGGATAAAGCTGATTAAAGCGGTAGCATGGCTCAGAAGATACGTGATCTATGTAACCATCATGTACTCCCATCACAATGACAGGTCCCTAAGTGTGGGCTATCTGTCAGTTGATGAATTGGATGCAGCTAAACACAAGGTATTAGCCTTAGTGCAAAAGGAAGTGTATGGGGAAGCAGTAAAGGTGTCTCGATGCAATGGCGTAAGCGCAACTGATATAAAAGAGCTAAAAAATCTTTCACCTACGCTAATCGATGGATTGCTTTGTGTCGGCGGACGATTAAATTACTCGGATTATCCACTCTCAATCAGACATCCAGTAATTTTACCCAGTCGTCACTTCGTAACAGAACTTATTATTAGACACCATCACCACCTAGAAGGTCACACCGGGACAGCACAAGTGTTAGCTACCATACGACGAAATTATTGGATTGTTAAAGGAACCAGTGCAGTTAAAAGAGTGATAGGTAGATATGTGAGGTGTATACGCGCAAAAGCCACATTAGGCCAACAGATGGTGGCACCTCTCTCCAAGTGTCGAGTGCAGCAAGGCTGGTTTTGCTTCTCCTCCGTCGGGATAGACTATTTTGGGCCGTTGATAGTTCGTCGGGGAAGAAGTGTGGAAAAAAGATATGGATGCCTATTTACGTGTCTCCAAACACGTGCCGTACATTTGGAAGTAGCTTTCAATTTGAGTACTGATGCTTTTATAATGGCTTTAATGCGTTTCATAGGAAGGAGAGGAACTCCTAAGGAAATCTATAGCGACAATAGAACTAACTTTGTCGGGGCTACTTCCGAATTACGGGCTAATATGAGTGTGTGGGACAAGCATAAAATAAACGACTTAACAGTATCGAAGGGTATACGCTGGCATTTCAACCCCCCACTAGCTAGCCATCGAGGCGGAGTTTGGGAGAGATTAATACGGTCTGTTCGGAGGATATTACTATCTATTTCCAACGGGCAAATATTACACGATGATAGTTTGGCAACTTATTTTGTGGAGGTAGAACGAATTTTAAACAACCGCTCAATCGTTCCTGTGACGTCAGATGAAAAGGATGATTTGGCGCTCACACCAAACACTTTGTTATTACTAAGAGACTGTGATGGTTTAGGAATGGAGTGTAGTGTTGCGGATAGGTATTCAAAGCGATGGAGACAGGTTAATTGTTTAGCCAATACCTTCTGGCGTCGATGGATAAAAGAGTACATTCCTTTACTGCAAGTGAGGCAGAAATGGTTTTGCAAACACAGAAACTTAAAAGAAGGTGATGTAGTTCTAGTGGCTAACGATGCAACTACTCGGGGCTCATGGCCAATGGGACGGGTTGATAAGTGCGAGACAGATAGAGATGGGTTGGTAAGAACAGTGATGGTGTGAATGAGAGAAGGTGTAGTAAGAAGAGATGTGCGAAAGCTCTGTCTTCTAGAGGGAGCCGAGTAATTGTGGATTGTAGCTTAGGTTTATGGATGTACAGGCGTACTGTTGTAAGTCCTGTGCCTCCCATTGATATAGAGCAGTTAGTAAGGAGAGCCATGACAGAAATGTATTCTAAGGTGTCTTTGCGTAGCTGGAGGGATTTTGGGGGCCGGTGTAACGGAAAAAGAACAGTGAAAATCCCTCTGCAGCTTCTTTGTTGAACAGTATTTTCATTTATTTGTTCCTTCTCTCTTTTGTGTATTCCAACCTTTGTTTCGACCTCGTTTAACCATGTCTTTTGTTCTTCAGTCTTCCCCGTTTGAGCCTTTATTATGTGATTTTGATTAAAGACTTATTTTTGTTACCTAATTTTCTATTGCATGTTGCCGGACCATTGACAGTAAGGTTGTGTTTGACTAAGCCCAAGGTCACGGCGTGGTTCATTTTGTGACTGTTAACCCTCTGACTGTCTGCTTGGGAGAATTGCTGCAATCCCTGCAGATAGATATTTGATCCCATCTTATTGGGAATATTTGTATTGATTCTCAGGTATCAAACCCTTTAGTATTAACTGTCTCTTTCATTGTTTAGCGCGCTACTTTGCGTTAGAGAAACTTCTGACTGTATAGCACAGGCTGTACCGTTTGAGGTATTTTGTATTTTTGATGTAATTTGTTCTGTTTTCTTAATTAGAACCGTTTATATTGAGCACAGAGTTTGTGTTTTGATATAATATAATACGAGTATCTCAAAGACGCGTTGTGAGCTATACAGAGGAACTTGGTCTGGTCTAATCGAATAAATTTTGGGTTCGTCAGTCCGTTGTTCCAACCGAATATTGGCTGTTCGGTCGTTACAGGTGTTATAAATTTCTTATGAATGCAAAGACTTGGATTGTTGGCTCGAATTCCTATAGTTTCTGCTGTGTGAGAGACAAGAACGATCACCACAGGGAAAACTAGTAGGAATACGGTAAACAACTTTAATTGACTTATTTCTGTCTATTACATGACCACAATCGACCAAGTGTGATACAAACAAGCTGCGTATTGACTTGACAGAACCTTTTCCTAACCCCGAAGAGAGGTGTTCACTGACTCTCCGGTCCAGTTGCCCAATATGGCTTTCTCCACCAGGGCAGCTGAAGTCGTAAGTATACAAAGAAGTGGCATAACCGGGAGACTTATCCTTTAGTTCGGGAATCGCCATAGATCGGTACGAATACGACGGACAAAGGTTGGCTGCATTAAACGTTCTCTTCACTGCTCTAGTCAGTCTATCACGTGATACATCACCAGCTACATTTCCATCAAACTGTAGCTTCAGGAAGAAAGGTTTCTCACTAGCCGCTGATGTTACTATTTTCTTGTTTGTTACACACATGTGTTTCTTCAGGAAACCCTGTAGATAACCCGTTTTAATCAACAAATTATGCATGAGCTATAATTCATTATTGATTGTATCGACTGGACATATCTCTATTTGGCAGACATTTGACTAAGTTTCTCTTATAATTAAGGGATATAAAGCTTAAGAAACGAGTACATTGACTTGATGAAGAACATTTTCTATATACATATCCACTGATAAAAGTAGTTTCTTTTCTGTTTAACGAAATGTCAAGAAAATGTATTGTATTGTAGTAGCTGTTCTAAGGATATCTTCTTCATCTACTTGGATATTGTGATATGCCCTGACCACGTCAATCTTAGTAAATATGGTCATACCATGTAAACCGTTTGGATATAATGTATTGGGTACCGATCCTGTACGGTTCGACGGCAGAATGATTTATAAACCTCACTCGATCTCCGATCACTTTCATTTTTTCTTCGCGACCATGACTATCAGAGGGACGGATAATACCCAGCTGAAGTGTGTAGTCGAATTCAGCTCTAAAGATTTTAAGCTTATCTGGTGCTGGTCTCCGGGGTCTGATCAGTTGTCTCTAACATAAAACTGTTAAGGCGCCCCTCCTCCGTCGTTGCGACCTGCTCAGAGGTTATTCATTTACCGTATTTTGGGGGTTACGTTTAGGCTAGGCGCATTGTTGCCTGGACTCTGTCGATCTGACACCAAACATCCAGTGATACCAAGGGAACTGCCCAGACAATCAACATTTATGACTTGAGTCCTCGTCGTTGTGGTGACCTGCTCCTGTTTCTATGATCCACTGGCCTCAGTGAGACTTTAAACACTCGCAATGAATCCTATGACTGAGTTTTTTTGATGGTTCTCCTTTTTGTGTGTGGTTTATCTTACCTGATCCAGTTTAGGCCGCTTTACATCATTCTATCTGCTATACGCGCCAAATGAGATAAAAATGTGTCAGGGTCTTGTGAATCCAAACAGTGTTGGAAGTAGCATAGGACAGCTCGTATCCATCCTTGTTTTAGGACTGCTTCACCCACTGTGTTTTCGCCCACTGAGATTTAAAGGTAACGTAAAAACTGTGACGGGGACCTATCACCTAATGTTTCTCCTCGGAAAAGCCTTTGGATTCTTTGATCGCCTGATAATGATAGACGGTTCATTATCTCTCGTCTTAAGATGGTGTACGGTTGTGATGATGGTGGGCATAATATTAATTCACGGACTTTTTTGGCGACTGGATAAGGAAGGATAGAACATAAGTCTCTATAACGAATTCCTTCAAATTCGATATTGTGTCTCGTGAAATAATGCTCTAGTTGTGCAAATTACAACTAGGGCTCACCACTATCAAATTCTGAGGGCCGGACTTTCGTAGTCATAAAAGTGTCCATTTCCACTGGTGACAAATCCCCTAGGTTTTGGGTTTGCATTGAGTCTGACATGAGGTACACGAAAAATATAGTAATATAATAATAACGAAATAAATTATGGGTATAACACTGATACCTTAAGATAAAAATCTGTGTATAAATATAAATACCAAACTTTGGTCAAGGATAATGGGAAGGTTAATTTACGACTCAGGAAAAGATACTATTGATAGAAATGAAGTTAAATTTGTGTTCAACACAGCTCACCAATTCGGTAGCGTTAAGTATCCCTTATTTTATTGATATAAGAGATAGGACTAGTAGTGAATCGGTCTTTATTTAGCTCATGGGACAGTCTCATTGGAGAGGGAGGTTACCTCTTCAAACACAAAAAGCTTTTCGACATTCAATATAGGGTGGTAGGAAATATAATACCTACAAAAAATGAGGAAATGAATAAATACTTGGGCTCTATTGTTTTGAAAAAGTAGTTGTGTAAATTAAACTCCTAACTAATCAACCTAAGTTGTTAAAAGTCTTCGAAATTGATGCCGACCTCCTGATTTTTGCTGGACACATCCTAGGTGAGGGTGATGAGTCACGCATTCATAATATTTCACTACTAGGCACTACATGCTACGCATCTCTCTCAACAACCAATCAGCTTAGTTCTCACGGGCCGTGACGTATCGACTATTTTCTGAATATATCCTTGAACTCCTTCTTTCCTGAATTCCTATTTGGATGTACATGTGGTCTTCCATCTGAAAGCGTAGTCATTCCCTGTGTATCCGTGACGATCCGTAATCAGACAAGACCATTAAACTATTTTGCCGTGTAATATGTCAAGTATGGCATGCTCAGTCAGTGATAAAAACAAACAGATACTTTGTCTGAAGCGAGGTAGAGGGTGAGTATAGATGAGTTATTATCTAACTGGAGGCCGTTAAAGACTGTTGTAAACCAATACACCATTTTAGGTCCCCTATTTTTCTTCTCTACGTTCATGAATTTTTGAAAAATGTTTAAGTCCTCGACACTTTTCTCTTTAATTATGTCGAAATCTGGCGAACAGTGATGGTGTGCATCTTCGTTTCCGTGTTGATCTAGTAGAGTTATTTATCTGGTCCCAAACTTGGCGTTTGGAAAACAATTCTAGGAAAAGTGTGCCAATACACATTAGACATAGCAATAATAACAGCCAAATTGTCGACGACACATCGATTTCACATGTGTAGGAACAAAGAGACTTATGATTAATTGTAAGTCATGGCTTGAAAACAAACGTAAATTACAATGCAGCAGCTACCAGTAGCCTTTGAGCATAATAGTCCTTTCTACAAAAATTCAGATACTTTGAGAAAATATGTACTGGATTTTATACCCCACCTATGTGGAGCTTCACTTTGTGTATTGTATCCAAACAACCAGCCCTTGTCTTAAACGGGGTTCCAGCACTCTCGAGCATGGAAACTAAGATATAAACAGGTCTTCCCAAGTTTATTTACGATGAGCGCTTAAAATGTTTATACCTTATACCGTAACTTGTCGTATAGTGGGGCTCGCCTTATATAGGCATCTTGTATCTTAAATAGGAGTTTGTGGGATGACGTCTTATCATTTTTCTTCCTACTTAACTTATTACCTCCGAGGCCACTGCAAGAAGGTAAGGAATTCGTGGTCAAATACACTCACTGAGCGGTGAGAGACTGGAAACCCCGACTCGA